CTGTCTTGACTGTGAATCACATGTGTCTTGCCATCTGTCTTGACTGTGAATCACATGTGTCTTGCCATCTGTCTTGACTGTGAATCACATGTGTCTTGCCATCTGTCTTGACTGTGAATCACATGTGTCTTGCCATCTGTCTTGACTGTGAATCACATGTGTCTTGCCATCTGTCTTGACTGTGAATCACATGTGTCTTGCCATCTGTCTTGACTGTGAATCACATGTGTCTTGCCATCTGTCTTGACTGTGAATCACATGTGTCTTGCCATCTGTCTTGACTGTGAATCACATGTGTCTTGCCATCTGTCTTGACTGTGAATCACATGTGTCTTGCCATCTGTCTTGACTGTGAATCACATGTGTCTTGCCATCTGTCTTGACTGTGAATCACATGTGTCTTGCCATCTGTCTTGACTGTGAATCACATGTGTCTTGCCATCTGTCTTGACTGTGAATCACATGTGTCTTGCCATCTGTCTTGACTGTGAATCACATGTGTCTTGCCATCTGTCTTGACTGTGAATCACATGTGTCTTGCCATCTGTCTTGACTGTGAATCACATGTGTCTTGCCATCTGTCTTGACTGTGAATCACATGTGTCTTGCCATCTGTCTTGACTGTGAATCACATGTGTCTTGCCATCTGTCTTGACTGTGAATCACATGTGTCTTGCCATCTGTCTTGACTGTGAATCACATGTGTCTTGCCATCTGTCTTGACTGTGAATCACATGTGTCTTGCCATCTGTCTTGACTGTGAATCACATGTGTCTTGCCATCTGTCTTGACTGTGAATCACATGTGTCTTGCCATCTGTCTTGACTGTGAATCACATGTGTCTTGCCATCTGTCTTGACTGTGAATCACATGTGTCTTGCCATCTGTCTTGACTGTGAATCACATGTGTCTTGCCATCTGTCTTGACTGTGAATCACATGTGTCTTGCCATCTGTCTTGACTGTGAATCACATGTGTCTTGCCATCTGTCTTGACTGTGAATCACATGTGTCTTGCCATCTGTCTTGACTGTGAATCACATGTGTCTTGCCATCTGTCTTGACTGTGAATCACATGTGTCTTGCCATCTGTCTTGACTGTGAATCACATGTGTCTTGCCATCTGTCTTGACTGTGAATCACATGTGTCTTGCCATCTGTCTTGACTGTGAATCACATGTGTCTTGCCATCTGTCTTGACTGTGAATCACATGTGTCTTGCCATCTGTCTTGACTGTGAATCACATGTGTCTTGCCATCTGTCTTGACTGTGAATCACATGTGTCTTGCCATCTGTCTTGACTGTGAATCACATGTGTCTTGCCATCTGTCTTGACTGTGAATCACATGTGTCTTGCCATCTGTCTTGACTGTGAATCACATGTGTCTTGCCATCTGTCTTGACTGTGAATCACATGTGTCTTGCCATCTGTCTTGACTGTGAATCACATGTGTCTTGCCATCTGTCTTGACTGTGAATCACATGTGTCTTGCCATCTGTCTTGACTGTGAATCACATGTGTCTTGCCATCTGTCTTGACTGTGAATCACATGTGTCTTGCCATCTGTCTTGACTGTGAATCACATGTGTCTTGCCATCTGTCTTGACTGTGAATCACATGTGTCTTGCCATCTGTCTTGACTGTGAATCACATGTGTCTTGCCATCTGTCTTGACTGTGAATCACATGTGTCTTGCCATCTGTCTTGACTGTGAATCACATGTGTCTTGCCATCTGTCTTGACTGTGAATCACATGTGTCTTGCCATCTGTCTTGACTGTGAATCACATGTGTCTTGCCATCTGTCTTGACTGTGAATCACATGTGTCTTGCCATCTGTCTTGACTGTGAATCACATGTGTCTTGCCATCTGTCTTGACTGTGAATCACATGTGTCTTGCCATCTGTCTTGACTGTGAATCACATGTGTCTTGCCATCTGTCTTGACTGTGAATCACATGTGTCTTGCCATCTGTCTTGACTGTGAATCACATGTGTCTTGCCATCTGTCTTGACTGTGAATCACATGTGTCTTGCCATCTGTCTTGACTGTGAATCACATGTGTCTTGCCATCTGTCTTGACTGTGAATCACATGTGTCTTGCCATCTGTCTTGACTGTGAATCACATGTGTCTTGCCATCTGTCTTGACTGTGAATCACATGTGTCTTGCCATCTGTCTTGACTGTGAATCACATGTGTCTTGCCATCTGTCTTGACTGTGAATCACATGTGTCTTGCCATCTGTCTTGACTGTGAATCACATGTGTCTTGCCATCTGTCTTGACTGTGAATCACATGTGTCTTGCCATCTGTCTTGACTGTGAATCACATGTGTCTTGCCATCTGTCTTGACTGTGAATCACATGTGTCTTGCCATCTGTCTTGACTGTGAATCACATGTGTCTTGCCATCTGTCTTGACTGTGAATCACATGTGTCTTGCCATCTGTCTTGACTGTGAATCACATGTGTCTTGCCATCTGTCTTGACTGTGAATCACATGTGTCTTGCCATCTGTCTTGACTGTGAATCACATGTGTCTTGCCATCTGTCTTGACTGTGAATCACATGTGTCTTGCCATCTGTCTTGACTGTGAATCACATGTGTCTTGCCATCTGTCTTGACTGTGAATCACATGTGTCTTGCCATCTGTCTTGACTGTGAATCACATGTGTCTTGCCATCTGTCTTGACTGTGAATCACATGTGTCTTGCCATCTGTCTTGACTGTGAATCACATGTGTCTTGCCATCTGTCTTGACTGTGAATCACATGTGTCTTGCCATCTGTCTTGACTGTGAATCACATGTGTCTTGCCATCTGTCTTGACTGTGAATCACATGTGTCTTGCCATCTGTCTTGACCTGCTGAATCACATGTGTCTTGCCATCTGTCTTGACCTGCTGAATCACATGTGTCTTGCCATCTGTCTTGACCTGCTGAATCACATGTGTCTTGCCATCTGTCTTGACCTGCTGAATCACATGTGTCTTGCCATCTGTCTTGACCTGCTGAATCACATGCTTCTCACCCCGGAAGTCTTTCCTTCCCTTTCTGCCTTCTCCTGCCCTCTGCGCTCCCCCCTCCGCCCTCCACTCTCCGCCCTCCGCCCTCCGCCATCCCCATCACAATGACCCCTTATACCACGCACGTGCGAGTGAGTTATGGCGTCTCTCCAGCGGTGTGCGTGCGCTTGACTTGAGAGCAGCCTTCCCTACCCTCCCTTCCCCTCCTTCCTCTTACCCCTCCCCCGCCCCATCACCCCCACTCATCCCACACAGGTGCTCGTGAGCTACGGCGATCTCTCCAGCGGTGTCCTTACCTGTGACCCAAGTTGCAATAAACTCTCAGGCCTGTTTGCGTATACACGCAACATGCTATACGCAAGCGAATCCGCTATACGCTCGGCAAATTTGTTTTGGGGCAGCCCGGGCGGAAAAAAATTCAAACATACGGAAAGATGCGGAATTTCACGACGTGCGTTTTGCCGAAGGCGAATTGCACGTACGTGACTTGTCCAATCGTGGACGTGGGTTCAACCCACGTAGTCGAGATTGGTTGTGTCAATTTGTCAAGTCGCGTTTTCACGTACACACTTTGTGCACTCTGTTTGTTACCGCTTTGAATCCCCCCCCATCTACTCACTCCAACCACCTGTCCCAATGTTTCCTTCTCTCGTTGTGCTACTTAGTGGGTTGCAAGCAACTACGCAATTCATCAGTTCCCCGTCTCTTTCGTAATGTCTAGCCCGCCATGCACACCGCCGTCCGTTCAGACAGTGCAGAGTTCTCGGATTGTTCGACCTGAGGGTAGGTATTACCTTCCCGACATGCCGGAACACGCAGTCTTCAAACATTTCCCCAAGTGGTTTTTTTTTGCCCTGCCCGGGAAAGTTTTTTCCCTGCCCGGAAAAGCGTATTCCAAAGTCGACCCCCAAGCGGATAGCGTGTATACGCTAGCGTATATACGATAAGCGTATATACGCTATAAGCGTATATTGCAACTTAGCCTGTGACTGCAAAGCATCCCCCCAACCCTTACCCTCCTGCCTCCGCACTTCCCCTCCCCCGCCCCATCACCCCTCCTCATCCCACACAGGTGCTCGTGAGCTACGGCGATCTCTCCAGCGGTGTGTTGGCGCTTGACTTTGGCTTCACTGTGCCGGACAACCCACACGACTCTGTGAGTGGGGCACGACTCTGTGAGTTGGGCACGACTCTGTGAGTTGGGCACGACTCTGTGAGTTGGGCACGACTCTGTGAGTTGGGCACGACTCTGTGAGTTGGGCACGACTCTGTGAGTTGGGCACGACTCTGTGAGTGGGGCACGACTCTGTGAGTTGGGCACGACTCTGTGAGTTGGGCACGACTCTGTGAGTGGGGCACGACTCTGTGAGTTGGGCACGACTCTGTGAGTTGGGCACGACTCTGTGAGTTGGGCACGACTCTGTGAGTTGGGCACGACTCTGTGAGTTGGGCACGACTCTGTGAGTGGGGCACGACTCTGTGAGTTGGGCACGACTCTGTGAGTTGGGCACGACTCTGTGAGTGGGGCACGACTCTGTGAGTGGGGCATGGCATGGCATGGCATTGCATGGCATGGCATGGCATGGCATGGCATGGCATTGCATGGCATGGCATGGCATGGCATGGCATGGCATGACACTTCCCTATTACCACCCAGGTAATTTGCCGACAACCCGCATGACAGCGTGAGTGCCGCACGACACGACACTTCCCTATTGTCACCCTCCCATACAGTCACAAGCCACTCTACTCATTCATATTCATGCCTCTATCACTGCCGCACGTGTCCGTAAGTGCCTCATCGCACTCCCTCGTTGCCATCCTCCCCACATGACGCACCACTCAGCAAGGCCAAGAGGTGCCTTCTGGTGGAAGTGCCTTCTGGTGGAGGTGCCTTCTGGTGGAGATGCCTTCTGGTGGAGGTGCCTTCTGGTGGAGGTGCCTTCTGGTGGAGGTGCCTTCTGGTGGAGGCATGGCTGTAATCCTCTTCCTCTCCCCTGTTCCCCTGCCCTCTTTCCCCTGCAGGTGGAGCTGTGTGTGCTTGTAACGAGTACCAGTAACCCCCATGACGCATCCCTTAACGAGGCCAAGAGTCGGCTTCTGGTGGAGGCGCAGCTGCTGCCGTGTGATTCCGCCAGTGGCGCTTCCTTTGTGCTCAAGTGAGTGTGAGCGTGAGTGGGTGTGTGAGTGTGAGAGTGTAAGCTCGGTTGTGACTCCACCAACGGCAGCGTTTCCCATTTTGCACGCAAGTGAACGTGCACGCAAGTGAACGTGCACGCAAGTGAACGTGCACGCAAGTGATCGTGCACGCAAGTGAACGTGCACGCAAGTGAACGTGCACGCAAGTGAACGTGCACGCAAGTGAACGTGCACGCAAGTGAACGTGCACGCAAGTGAACGTGCAGGCAAGTGAACGTGCAGGCAAGTGAACGTGCAGGCAAGTGAACGTGCACGCAAGTGAACGTGCACGCAAGTGAACGTGCACGCAAGTGAACGTGCACGCAAGTGAACGTGCGCGCAAGTGAACGTGCGCGCAAGTGAACGTGCGCGCAAGTGAACGTGCGCGCAAGTGAACGTGCGCGCAAGTGAACGTGCGCGCAAGTGAACGTGCGCGCAAGTGAACGTGCGCGCAAGTGAACGTGCGCGCAAGTGAACGTGCGCGCAAGTGAACGTGCGCGCAAGTGAACGTGCGCGCAAGTGAACGTGCGCGCAAGTGAACGTGCACGCAAGTGAACGTGCACGCAAGTGAACGTGCACGCAAGTGAACGTGCACGCAAGTGAACGTGCACGCAAGTGATCGTGCACGCAAGTGATCGTGCACGCAAGTGATCGTGCACGCAAGTGATCGTGCACGCAAGTGATCGTGCACGCAAGTGATCGTGCACGCAAGTGAACGTGCACGCAAGTGAACGTGCACGCAAGTGAACGTGCACGCAAGTGAACGTGCACGCAAGTGATCGTGCACGCAAGTGAACGTGCACGCAAGAGAACGTGCACGCAAGTGAACGTGCACGCAAGTGAACGTGCACGCAAGTGAACGTGCACGCAAGTGAACGTGCACGCAAGTGATCGTGCACGCAAGTGAACGTGCACGCAAGTGAACGTGCACGCAAGTGAACGTGCACGCAAGTGAACGTGCACGCAAGTGAACGTGCACGCAAGTGAACGTGCACCGCAAGTGAACGTGCACACGAAATGCATCTCCTGACTCTGACTGCTGCCCGCCCGCCTGTCCCTCCACTCTCCCACCCGCCAGGCGCATCGACTCGCCAGCATCGGATGGGAGGGGCTTGCCCTTCGCGCTGCGAGCAATGGCGCGTATCTTGACAGCTGCTAGTGAAGAGCAGGTGAGAAACCATAAGCCACCAATGGACCGCCAATGGACTGCCAATGAACGCCAATGGACTGTCAATGAACGTCTATGGACTGCCAATGGGTCACTGACAGGTTTGGGATGGATTACCAGTGCTTTGCCAGAGGTTAGTATTGGACTACAGATTGTATCCCACTGGGTTGCACAACAGCATGGCACCATGGTGCAACCAGTTGATTGGTGAATATTCTTATCAGTGAACTGATGAGGAGTGTTGGCCGTTTGTGTTCGAGGTGGCTTAGCCACACACAGTCCACACAGCCTGCAATGATGTCCGCTTTTGAGGCGCCTCAAAAGTCAACGTGACATAACTACCATCCACACAGGCTGGAGTGATGGTAGTACCTACCATGTCAGATCGAGCACAACGGGAAGGCTGGATTTGCTTCCGAGACTGCCACTCCATTTCAAAGGAATCAATCCAAGCATCTTCACTGCAATCGTAACTGCCACTCCATTCCGAGTTGTCTTTAGAGAATTCTCAAGTGTATGTCAAGCATCTTCAGAGAGATTAAGTGAAGGTCATCGTCACCATCTCAGAAGTGGCTAATATTCCCCTTTTGGAGCCCTCTCCCTCCCTTTCGCCCTCTCCTACCTTCCACCCCCTCCTCTCCCCCTCCTCTCCCCCTCCTCTCAGAAGTGGCTAATATTCCCCTACCTTCCACCTCCTCCTCTCCCCCTCCTCTCCCCCTCCTCTCCCCCTCCTCTCCCCCTCCTCTCCCCCTCCTCCTCTCCCCCTCCTCTCCCCCTCCTCTCCCCCTCCTCTCCCCCTCCTCTCCCCCTCCTCTCCCCCTCCTCTCCTCCTCCTCTCCCCCTCCTCTCCTCCTCCTCTCCCCCTCCTCTCCTCCTCCTCTCCCCCTCCTCTCCCCCTCCTCTCCCCCTCCTCTCCCCCTCCTCTCCTCCTCCTCTCCCCCTCCTCTCCTCCTCCTCTCCCCTCCCCTCCTCTCCCCCTCCTCTCCCCCTCCTCTCCCCCTCCTCTCCTCCTCCTCTCCCCCTCCTCTCCTCCTCCTCTCCCCCTCCTCTCCCCCTCCTCTCCCCCTCCTCTCCCCCTCCTCTCCTCCTCCTCTCCCCCTCCTCTCCCCCTCCTCTCTCCCCTCCTCTCCTCCTTCCGGACCTCACTGGCACAGTGGCACAGTGGCACAGTGGCACAGTGGGACAGTGGGACAGTGGCACAGTGGCACAGTGGGACAGTGGGACAGTGGCACAGTGGCACAGTGGCACAGTGGGACAGTGGCACAGTGGCACAGTGGCACAGTGGCACAGTGGGACAGTGGCACAGTGGGACAGTGAGACAGTGGGACAGTGGCGAGACGACCAATCATCACTGCCCTTCCCATCCCCCCTCGCTCCCCCCTCTTCCTCCCCAAACCTCCTCTTTTTCTCCCGCAGCTGCAATTCCTGCGAGAAGAGGGGCGGCAGCACAGCGGCACGGTGGGGAGACGACCAATTAGAGCGCAGGGAGGCGGCGGAGGGGGAAGAGGGGGATGGGGGAGAGGAGGAGGGGGAGGGGAAGGAGGGGAGGGGGGTGGAGTGGAGGGGTGGGAGGGCAGGGCGATGGAGCTGCTGCTGTTGCTGGTGGACGAGAGAATAGAGCACCTGATTGGTACACGACAGGTGAGACATAGTGGGTGCCCAGAAGGTGAGACCAGAGGGGTGCAGAGGGGTACAGAGGGGTACATGGAAGAATGGTATGGAGTTGCTGCTGTTGCTGGTGGAAGAGAGAATAGAGCACTTGATGGGTGCACGACAGGTGAGACCTGATGGATTTGTAGGGTGCAGGTGGTTGCACTGGGGTGCAGGTGATTGCGGAGGGGTGCAGGTGATTGCAGCGGGGTGCAGGTGATTGCAGAGAAGTGCAGGGATTTGCACATTGGAATGGAACGGGCTGGTGCTATTATTAGTGAAAGAGAGTAAAGCACTTGAGGGTGCATGGCAGGTGTGAGATGAGGGCGCATGGCAGGTGTGAGATGAGGGCGCACGGAAGGTGCCACATCATAAATGCATGGAAATGTTATTGACCATTGGGTTGCATTATCATCTTCATCACTGACATTCATTGGAAACTCAACTCAGCATAACCCCACAAAGAAAAGAATATTATATATATATATGTATGTATGTACAATTGTACATGCTATGGTGCATTTGGATTTGCTGTTGCAGGACGTGAAGCAATTGGCATCTCAAGTGGAAGAAAGCAGGCTAGGCACGGCATTGCGGATCATAGACAACCATTTGGCGGTCTTTCGATCTGTGGCGGCATGGCTGAGGCCTCGGGCTTCCGGGGGTGGTTTGGAAGGGGTCTTTGCCACTCCAGAAGCTCGACAGGGTTGGAGTTCTTATAGATGAGGCAGATCTTCAACGGGCTTGCGTTAGTTGGATTACTATTTGTGTTGCTAGGAAGGAATGCTTACTGTAGAATGTATCTTATTTGAAGGGAATTGTCTCCAACCTCCAAGTTTCCGAGCTGTGGTCTCAGCCACGTCATTCGTTCTGCAACCTTATTGGCTCCCTTTCCCCAGCCGACCCCCGCTCGTCTACCCACTTCCCTCCTGCGCACACCACCCTCCCGCACCACTCCCCCTTCCTTTCCACACTCCTCCCCTCCTGGCCTGGCTGGCAATGGTGAATCTCCGCGGAAGGAATTCCTCTTTGGCCCAGGAACTAGGGAAGATTCATTGCTGTCGGTGGTGCCATCCTTCTTCGGAATGGACGGACAGGATTCGCTCGAATGCCTAGAGCCACCAAATCTCATGGTGGACGGGGGAAGGTAAATATGCGGGATGTTTCATGGGCAGGTCCTCCCATTCCCCTCAACGAAAGCGGTTAGCTACGATTTTGTGCACTATAAAACGGTCTTACAGCTTCACCGCTTTGAACCGTTACTTACCAGCATGAAAATTGTAGCAATGTATGGCTTGTTCACCGTCGCGTTGCCACCACCCCTTCTCTCTCCTCTTTCTTTCCTGCCTTGGCGTGTCTCTGTTGGGAGCTCACAAGTTAGTAACGTTTGCACAGGAAAATGTAAGTCTTGAATCTTTCCGCAAAGCATGCGGCAGCAAGCATTCTGCGACGATGCGACGGTGGCGTGGCGCGTGGTCGGATCGGAACGTCGGCGCGTGCTGCCAACGAGGGTTGAACTTGAAATAGAAAGAAGGAAGCAAGGGCAGGAGGTTGGAACAGGTTCGTTTGTTCGCACGCTAGGGTCCTCGTTCGTTGATGCATTGAAACCAAGAATGCACCTGCTCACATCCGAGCGCCTATCGCGGAACCTGCGTATATCACGCACCATCTCACCGCACACTTGAGAACCGTTTACCAGCACGGCACAGCGCAGTTCAGATCCCCTAGTCCACTCTCCCCGTTCAACACAGGCGCGAACGCGAACAAGCATGTCATCACACATCAGACATCACGCGATGACTCATAGGCGACCAATCAGCTTGTGCGGGCGGCTCTCAATACGGATGGTCGTAGGAGCAAGGAAGGTCGGCGCGCGTGTAAAGATCGATACAACACGATTGTACAGTACGTTACAGTATCATCTCTTCAAAAGAGAGAAGCTTCTTCGAAAAGAGACGTAATGCTGCTCCTAATGCAGTTAGCACACCTATTTTAAGCCTGTTCCGCTGGAAAATCATACTTTCTATCCAGTGCGTTGCAAGCTTTCTGAGTTCCCCCGCACAGCCTCGGCCCGTGCGACGTTAGCAACGTTAGCCGCTACGACTTTGGCGACCATTGCGATGACGATCATGTTTGTGTCCGTCTCGCCGCCGCCGCCGCGACGACGCCTCGCCCTCCGACAAGCGCCGCACCCGGCGCTCCCGCCGCTCATGCTCCTCCTCGCGAGCCTCTTCGCGGCGCACCTCGCGCCTCGGGCAGCAGCTGAACGGCCCTTCCCCGACACGCCTGCTGTAGTCACATCTGCCGAGCTGAGCTCCTCCGCGGCGCCCGTTACAAGCACGTCGTCGCTTGTCACGCACGTGCGGCGGCAGCTGCTGTTCGAACGGTACAGCTGCGGCCGTTCGCGGCTTAAGGGATACACATCATCGAAGCGCCTCGCCCCTGGGTGAGCAATCTATTCTAGAGGCGCGCTTCGAAAATGGACTCCTCACAAGCAATTTATACGTAGGTGCTAGAACTGCGGCTACTCGCGGCTAAAGAAGTACATAGTATGACCGAAGTGACTCGCCTCGTGGTCAGAATCGCTCTTTTGAAAAACAAACGCCTGCCGCGTCGACTAAAACATCACCTCCTCTCGAGGCACCTTAACACTCCAAGTCACCCCTTCCTACCTAAACACCTCCGCGCACCACTGGTGTGGCAGTGGCACACACACACATGTTCACATCTCCCCATCTCCATGTCCTTCCCTCCAGCCTCGTTCTCCACTGGAAGGCCACGCGCGGGTGGACAGTGACAGTCCCTTTGGAGCACTCGGGGGCGAATGGGGGTAGGGGGGGAGGTACAACCTCAAATTTCCCTCAAGTTCGTCGTGGTGAGGTAGTCACCCAAGGGGCTCAAGGAACATACCTTCCTTCTCCGTCCTTCTTATTCCCCATCCCATCCCATCCCACCCCATCCCATCTTCCTTTTCCTTCCGCCCAGCCTTCTCCTTCACTGGAAGGCCATGAGCGGGCGCAAGATTGAAGTCGCCCTGGTTGCCTCGGGGGCGGCTGCAGGGGGGTGGTGCGCTGTGAGGTGGTCTCAAGGGGCTAAAAGAACACTTTTGAGACGTCTCAAAGGTCTCAAGGGGCTAAAAGAACACCATGTGGCATCCTTTCTTTCTCCTTCTCCCTACGTGCCCCCGGACCCATCCCTCACTCGCTGTCCGTCCAGCCTTGTTCTCCACTGGAAGGCCACGAGCGGGCGCAAGATAAAAGCCGCTGTGGTGGCCTCGGGAGCGGCTGCAGGGGGGTGGTTCGCTGTGGGGTGGTCACGCAGGGGGAAGATGGACGGCAGCAACGCCGTGGCCATGGAGGATACGAATAACCCTCCCGCCGTGTATGATCTTGAAGGGACGTCTGCTGCGAACGCTGCGTCGTGGACCGTCGGATCGCCGTCGATCTCGAGTGCTGGCGGCAAGGTCACGATGAAGTGAGTGCTCTCTGGGGTGTTGGGTGTTGGTTGCCCAAAGCAGGAGTGGTTGCTGTTGGGTAGCTTGCGGTGGGATGGTTTGGCAAAGTGGGGGGGTGAGGGGATGAATTGCAATGGTCACACGGGTAACACGGACGGCCGCAGTGCCGGTGCCATGGAATGAACTAGTAGCCACCCTATTCTACTCTCCCCCCTCCTTACATTGTATGTACGACTTGGGAAGGGCTTAAGTGGATGCCGCACACGTTACCGAAGAGTAGTGAAGGATGTTGAATCGTTTCAGTTTATTTCTCACTTCTGTTTATGGGAGTGTCCTTCCGTGGTGTTGCACGTTGAGAGTGCAGGTTTACAAAGAACAAGGGGGATGGGGCGTCTGTGAAGGTGAATGCTAATGGCAACAACAACATTGTGTGGGCGTATGGCGACGGCACTGCAGTTTCCACACACACCGACCGGTAAGCTCCTCACCTTGCCATGTGGCCTGCTGTGTACACAGAGAGAATTCTTTTGCATACTGTAATTGTTCCTGCATCTTCAGATGGTTTATTACATTTGCATAAGTTACACATAAGCTTCCCGCCCCTTCTTGGTGGTCCTTGTGTGCAGTGGGAATGTGGTTGTGAATTTCGCATGTGGGTGCCCTCTTTTCAGAAACTGCTGACGAACTTGGATGTGTAACGTGTTTAACATAATGCCTCAACCTAAGTAGCGTTTGTATCCTCAAAAAATAGCAGTATGAGATGGAGGTGTACTGAAAATATTCTTGTACTGTACTACAATTCATGGTGTTATCTTGACGCACGGCTCAGCGCATCGGGTTCAATTGACTGTACACCCTGCCCAACCGTCTTGTGTTTTAATTAGAACGCTCTGGATCAAGTTTTAACCTTTTTCAACCGAATTCGGACGTACTCTTTTGACCTGCCCTTATCCTCCTGACTTCTTATCAGGCCACCCACCCACCTGCGGTCCGCCTGGCGGCGAACCGTGTTTGGTCGCCATTTGGCGACAAGAAAGTTCTGGAACTTTGTCTGGCTTTGCTCTCATCGCTATCGTGTAACAGACCTGGCGACATTCGCGAATCTGCTTCCGAGCCAGAACCTGACGCCTGACGCACAGCACAACCAACCGCAGCCGCAGTAACCTCGACAGCAATCCTGCATTTGCGCGAATCCGTTATTCCACAGGAAACGGAAAACCCGTTCCTAGATTATTAAGCATTACAGCACGGTTTAAAACGTTACCGCTCGTATACAAGTGTAAACATTTCGGTTCCGCCACAACACGACAACGCGTTTTGTGTAGCCTCTTGCTGCTCGGCAGATATGCAGTCTAAATGCTCCAGCAGCAGCATCTGTTAGCAGATAAGTTGCGAGACCTGTGATGGAGCAAAAAAAACCTGGCTTAGTGACCAAGAATTTTCGGATATTTTTTGCGAAGTGCGGAACGCGACTCGGCACTCGAGAAGCATCTCATTTAAGTCGTGCAGATTGCGTTTAGTTAGTCACACTCGGTTGCCATTCCATGGTCGAATAAAAAACCGTCGTCCATTATTAGGATTAGGTGGTCCACACTGCGTATCCCCACACCCCGCGACGCTCGGGAGAAATGACAGACAGAGTTTCACAGAAACGGTGATATTGAAAGCTTATTTGAGAAAAAAAGTACGCACGTCTTACGGCCATGGCGGTACCAGCTACACTTAGATTCTCCCACAGAAGTCATACAGCGCTCCTGCTTCCTCTCGCGGTGCTCACACTTGTCGCCGTTTCTGAATGCGCAAGACTAGTCCCGTACGACGCATCCGCGTCGAGTGCGATTAGCACCTTTACTTACCCAATACTTGCCAACACCTCCTCCTTCAGAGAGAAAAAATGGCTTCCCTCCACCTCCTCCTCCTCCTCCTCCTCCTCCTCCTCCTCCTCCTCCTCCTCCTCCTCCTCCTCCTCCTCCTCCTCCTCCTCCTCCGCTTCTTCCTCGGCTGAGTCGCACGATGACGTGGCAGAGCTGGACGCTGACTTGTTGGCTCCGCGGCGCATGATGCTCACGCCCGGATGGATGCTTTGGCGAATGGCGAACTCCAATAGATGTAACCCGTCGTCTCTCAGTGGCTATACGTCCAGTCGCAAGCTCGGCAACGGGTATGTGTGGAGGAGATGGGGGGTAACGGGTATGTGTGGAGGACATGGGGGGTAACGGGTATGTGCGTGTGCGGATGGGGTAACGCGTATGTGTGGTGCAGATGGGGGGTATGTATCCGGGCGATGGTGCAACCAACGGGTGTATAAGCGGATAGGCGGAAAGGCATCATCCGGAATAACCCGCGCGCAACTGTCTGAGAATTCTCAAAAGTGAACCCGCGCGCAACTGTCTGAGAATTCTCAAAAGTGAACCCGCGTGCAACTGTCTCCTCGTTCATTCTCTCTCTTTCTCCTCCCCCTTCCCTCCTCCACCTACAACACTAGAAAACCACGAGCGGCACGAGGCTACCGGCTCAGGTTCGGTCTCCGGCTGGGGCTCGGGCTCGGGCTCGGGCTCAGGCTCGGGCTCAGGCTCGGGCTCAGGCTCGGGCTCAAGCTCGGGTTCAGGCTCAGTGTGGTAGTGAAGCAGTCTATTGCCTTCCTTACCCTCCCCATCCCCACACCCCACCCCTTCTGCAGCCTCGTGCTGCTTTGGAAGGCCACAACGAGCAGAAGATTGCGAGTGGCGGTGCTGGCAGTGCTGGCAATGCCGGTTCTGCTGGAGGTGAAGCCTCGTGCTGAAGCTGCCCCTCCCCTTCGCCCCACCCCCTGTTCCGCAATCCCCACCCGCGCGCCCGCGTCTCGCCCACGTCTCGCCCGCAGCCTCGTGCTGCACTGGAAGGCGACGACGGGCAGGAGGCTGCTGTCGGAAACTTCTGCATCACCTGGTCCCCTCCCTCTTACTCCTGTTGCCCTCTCCTTCTCATCCCTGTTGCTGTCTTGTTCCTGCTCCATGTTCCCTTCGTACTCAGCCACTACCTTGAGAGATTCTGCCTCCCCCACGAATGGCTGCCCACAGTGGCTTAGTCGCCTAAGCTGGAGTTAGCTGTCAAACGGCAACCTATATCCACTATTACGAGCAAACAATCGAGAGAACGAGATTGTGTTGCATGTTCCTAGGCTACTTGAATTACCTACCCGTGTCGCCAAGTTTCCAAGAGCAACATCGAGCTCTAGTTACTCGGCTTCGAGGATTGGTTCCTCAAATTGCCCAAGGCCCAATGTCCCCTCGAGATCTTCCTCCTCGCCCTTTTGCCAACACCCTCGCGTCACAACCTAAGAACCCAACCCCAACCTAACTTCTACAGTAATTATAATGATTCACCTACACCCCACAAGCGAGTAACTGAATGTATTGCTAACACCAATAGATTCGGTGACACTGCGGGTGGCAGTGGTGGCGCGCGCGGGCAGTGCTGAAGCTGCTGCTTATGCCACGCTCTCCCTTCCCCACTTCAACCCTCCTCGTCTCGCCCGCAGCCTCGTGCTGCACTGGAAGGCCATGACGGGGAAGAGGGTGCGGGTGGCGGTGAGGGCGCGCGCGGGGACAGAAGCTGCTGCTTATGCCACTTCTCGCTCTCCATCCCCCACCCCCTTCCACCCATTCGCACCCCTCCACCTTCCCATCAGCCTCGTGCTCCACTGGAAGGCCACGACGGGCAAGAGGGTGCGGGTGGCGGTGATGGCGCGCGCGGGGACAGAGGCAGCGGCGGCGGGGTGGTTCGCCGTGGGATGGTCCCCCAAGGGGCGCATGGATGGCAGCAACGTGGTTGCGCGCGAGGCGGACAGCGCGCCCATCGCGTATGATTTAAGTGGAAACGAAGATGTGACCGAAGCGCGGACGTGGGTGGTGCAGGACGCTTCGGTAGAGCACACCGACAGAGGGATTATTATGCGGTGAGTGGCGGTTGTGCGGTAGTGAGTGCGGTTCTGAGTAAGAAAGTGCGGTTGTTTCTAGACGTCTCAGAAGGCGGACAGTGCCCCAATCGCGTACGACCTGAGCGGACACGAGGATGCGACGGAAGCGCGCACGTGGGTGGCGCAGGACGCTTCAGTAGAGCACACCGATAGAGGGATTATTATGAGGTTGAGTGCTGTTGGGCGCGGTTGGGAGGAAGATAGTGCTGTTCTGAGGAGGTGAGCGTGGTTGGTTTGACACGACTCAGGACTGTGGCCCCATCGTGTTTGACCAGAGCTGGAACGCGGATGCGACGGTGTCTCGGACTTGGGGGGTGGAAGGCGCTTCGGTAGAGCACAGCGGAAACGGAATGATTAAGAGGTGAGCGGGGAAGGTTGGGGATGGAGTGAGTGCGGTTGGGATAGAGTTAGAGCGGTTGGTTTGAGACGTCTCAGGGCAGCGGCCCCTCCCATCGCGTATGACGTGAGCTGAGGCGCGGACGTGGGGGGTTGAGGAGACGATGTGTAGGTGGAGCACATTAGGAATGGAGTTATCGTGGGATGAGTGCGGTAGGGATGGGTTGAGAGGAGTGGTTGTGTTGTGGAGCGTTGAGGGGGACTTGTTGTGGGTGAGTGAGGTTGTGGGGAAGTGAGTGTGATTGTGAGCTTGTTTTTCATGTGTCTGTATATATGATTCTATACAGTAATTACACAATTTATTTATTGTATACCGTTTTGTCACTCCCTCTCGCCACACCATGCAGGTTCACACGCACCAAGGGCGACGGGTCGTCGGTGGGCATCAGGACGTGGGAGGGCTTTAACTACATCGTGTTCGCCTATGGCATGGGCACCACGATTGGGGATCACCAGTACAGGTGCGCACGTGCTATGTGCTCGTGTAGCGAGGGTGTGCTCTTGTTGTCAGACATGTGCTTGTGTGCGCACGTGCTATGTGCTCGCACTCTTGTTGTCACAGACATGTGCTTGTGTGTGCATGTGCTTGTGTGTGCATGTGCTTGTGTGTGCATGTGCTTGTGTGTGCATGTGCTTGTGTGTGCATGTGCTTGTGTGTGCATGTGCTTGTGTGTGAATGTGCTGTGTGCTTTATGGTGTATGGTTGTGACCACATGGTGTTCGCCTATGGCATGGGCACCACCATTGGAGACCACCAGTACACGTGCGCACGAGCTCTGTGCCATATGCTCTGTGCCATATGCTCTGTGCCATATGCTCTGTGCCATATGCTCTGTGCCATATGCTCTGTGCCATATGCTCTGTGCCATATGCTCTGTGCCATATGCTCTGTGCCATATGCTCTGTGCCATATGCTCTGTGCCATATGCTCTGTGCCATATGCTCTGTGCCATATGCTCTGTGCCATATGCTCTGTGCCATATGCTCTGTGCCATATGCTCTGTGCCATATGCTCTGTGCCATATGCTCTGTGCCATATGCTCTGTGCCATATGCTCTGTGCCATATGCTCTGTGCCATGTGCTCTGTGCCATGTGCTCTGTGCCATGTGCTCTGTGCCATGTGCTCTGTGCCATGTGCTCTGTACCATGTGCTCTGTGCCATGTGCTCTGTGCCATGTGCTCTGTGCCATATGCTCTGTGCCATATGCTGTGTGCCATATGCTGTGTGCCATATGCTGTGTGCCATGTGCTCTGTGCCATGTGCTCTGTGCCATGTGCTCTGTGCCATATGCTCTGTGCCATATGCTCTGTGCCATATGCTCTGTGCCATGTCCTCACCCCCTTGGTGTGCGCACGTGCTCTGTGCTTTCTTGTGTATGGGCTGCTGTGAGCTCCTCTCATTGTTGAGGTGTAGGAATGGGAGAGGGCGAGGGCTTTAACTACATTGTCTTTTCTTTGGCATGGGCAGCACCATTAGGGATTACGAGCACAGCTGTGCGCGTGTACCACTCCTTGCCACTCCCTGCCACTCCTTGCCACTCCCTGCCACTCCTTGCCACTCCCTGCCACTCCTTGCCACTCCCTGCAACTCCTTGCCACTGCTTGCCACTCCTTGTCTGCAACCACCACCAGTGCTACTTATTGATGATTGACGACACCCCATTCCTCCCCTCTTCTCCCCTCCTTTCTCCCTTCCCTTCTTCACCACTCACCCCCCTCTACACCTCGATCCACACCTTACACCACCCCCCCCTTCTCCTTACACCACCCCCCCCTTCTCCTTACACCACCCCCCCCTTCTCCTTACACCACCCCCCCCTTCTCCTTACACCACCCCCCCCTTCTCCTTACACCACCCCCCCCTTCTCCTTACACCACCCCCCCCTTCTCCTTACACCACCCCCCCCTTCTTCTCCTTACACCACCCCCCCCACCCCCCCCTTCTCCTTACACCACCCCCCCCTTCTCCTTACACCACCCCCCCCTTCTCCTTACACCACCCCCCCCTTCTCCTTACACCACCCCCCCCTTCTCCTTACACCACCCCCCCCTTCTCCTTACACCACCCCCCCCTTCTCCTTACACCACCCCCCCCTTCTCCTTACACCACCCCCCCCTTCTCCTTACACCACCCCCCCCTTCTCCTTACACCACCCCCCCCTCCCTCCCCCACCCTTTACAACCAACGCCGTCCCCATGTCCCCTTCCCTTCCTCTCTAAACATGCCCGTCCCCAACCCCATCACACGCCCCCATCACCCCATCACACCTACCCATCACCCCATCACACGCCCCCTCCCTCCTCGACTCCCCCTTCACACTGCCCCTCTTTTCAGGAACACGATGCTGATTGATTTCACCTTTGGCTTGGCTTGCTGTCTCGACCCCCCTCGTCTCATTCCCCCTCTTTACCACCCCCCTCTACAGGAACGTGATGCTAATCGACTCAGCATGCGTGACTGTGGCTTGCTGTCTCACCCTGTTTTCGTCACCGCCCCCTCTACGGGAACACAATATTTGAGAATTCTAAAAAATCGCACCCCTCTACAGGAACACGATGCTCATTTATCTTACACGTGTGGCTGTGGCTTGCTGCCTCACCCTCCCCTTGCCTCGCCCTTATACCACCCCCTCTTACAGGAACACGATGCTCATTGACTTCACCTGTGGCTGTGGCTTGCTGCGCTTCCGCTGCTAACATCGTTCGGGGCGACCGTGACCGACCTCTGATGCTGCTTTGCAAACTCTAACGGCATCAGCAGCAGCAGCATCCTACTCAGGCTGTAAGGAACCGTCTGCATTGAGACATGCTGTGCAAAATGAGCATATGGAGATGGGTTAAATTCAGTGTATTGCAATGGGGTTATGACATTACTGGGACCCCCCCACCTCGCGGTCATGAAACCTCTGCAATGCAGCTGACTATTTGCCGTCGGCAGCCCCCCCATTTATTGTGTACAGTCATTTCGATATTAATATAACAGCATAGCAATGGGATAGCGGTGTTGCATGCACAGTGGCACACCTTGATTGTATGGATGTTTCAGGAAGGGACGATTATTTATATCTTTTTTTTTTTTTTTTTTTTTTCAAAGGTACCGGCTGGGTGTTGAAACTGTTTCCATCAGGCGTGCGATGATGTGCCTTGTATTGGATTTAGGAGTCTTGAATCACAGATGCGCTACTGTTCTTGCTGGGCCACAAGAACCTTTTTTACCTTAGTAACTGGAAGTACAGTAACTACAACTGTATATTTGTATTTGGTGCACCATCAGCACATTTTGAAGAACAGCACCCAGCACCCGTTGCAGGAAAAATCAACTGAAGTTGTGCCTCTGTTGGAATTAAAAAGAAAAGGGGAACAAAGAATAGAGGGGTTAGCGCTCAAGGTGCAGAGCAATATGGAAACATGGCAGAGGACAAATGAAGTCTCTTCTCCCCGAACCCATCTCCCCAAACCCATCTCCCCAAACCCATCTCCCCGAACCCATCTCCCCAAACCCATCTCCCCAAACCCATCTCCCCATACCCATCCCCACAAGCTCATCTTCCCCCTTAACCACATTTTCCCCATACCTCATGTGATGCTGGGCAGTGGTCGATCACGCATCGCCCCCATACGCCCACTCCATCTACTCTCATACCGGCCTTCATACCTCCACACCCATCACCATCTCCCCACATCTCCCCTTCCCCCCATCATGCTGAGCAGTGGTTGACCACGCATCCCCTCCATAAGCCATCTAACCCCACACCATCTGAGTTTTCCCACATCCCCAAACCCATCTCTATACCCCCACACCCATCTCCAACCCCACATCTCCCCTTCCTCCTGTCATGCTGGGCAGTGGTTGACCACGCATCCCTTCCATAAGCCCACACCATCTGACATTTCCCATATCCTTAAACCCTTTCTCACTCCCCCGAACCAATCTCGATACCCCCACATCTCTCAATGCCATCTCCCTCCTGTTAGCTCGCATCATGCTGGGAAATGGTCGATCACACATCCCGCCCTTACGACTGCACCATCTGACCATCTCCATACCCTTTATCAGGCGCCTCAAAAATTGCAGGTAATGAGACGACTTTTGAGGCGCCTCAAAAGGCCCCCCCTCACGACTGCACCATCTGACCATCTCCATACCCCTCACCCTACTCCATCTCCCCACACCCACCTTCCCTTCCCATACCCAACTCCATCCCCTCATCGCCCTTACCTGGCGTCATGCTGGGCGGTGGTAGACCAAGCAACGCCCCCTCCCATACGCCCTCACCATGTCAGCATCCCACCCCACCCATCTCCACCCATTCATCTCCCCTACCTGGCGTCGTGCTGGGCAGTGGTAGACCAAGCAATGCCCCCCCCCATACGCCCTCACCATGTCAGCATCCCACCCCACCCATCTCCACCCATTCATCTCCCCTACCTGGCGTCGTGCTGGGCAGTGGTGGACCAAGCAATGCCCCCCCCCATACGCCCACACCACCTGTGCACCTCCACAGCCCCATACTGATATTCATACCCATGTACCGACCGACATCCCGCGCCCACCATACATCTCCCCTACCTCCCCTACTTCCCATTCCCCCACACTCATCGACCCATAGCCACACTCATCTACCCATAGCCGCACTCCTCTACCCATAGCCGCACTCATCTACCCATAGCCGCACTCCTCTACCCATAGCCGCACTCATCTACCCATAGCCGCACTCCTCTACCCATAGCCACACTCATCTACCCATAGCCGCACTCCTCTACCCATAGCCGCACTCATCTACCCATAGCCGCACTCCTCTACCCACAGCCGCACTCATCTACCCATAGCCGCACTCCTCTACCCATAGCCACACTCATCTACCCATTGCAGCACTCCTCCCCTACCTGGCGTCATGCTGGGCGGTGGTAGACCAAGCATCCGCCCCATACGCCCACACAATCTGCGACCGCCCTTGAGGCTTCACTGCAACGTTCCCCCCGTCGCCAGAAGATCTCGAAAACCTGTCAACAGTAACCAAAAGGTGGTCAACGGCAGTCAACGTTGGTCAACAGATGTGACCAACAGTGGTCAGCGGTGGTCAACGGTGGTCAACAGTGGCCAAACCATTTCTTGGGGACGTATGTAGCCAGAAATGGTAACTGAATAACCACCACCTGCTTTCTGATTACACTCACTTCATAACAGTGCCTTGCGAGCTTGTAGTCTCTATCGAAGGAGAGCCTATAGTGAAGCTCGTTGTAGCGCGGACGTTTGAATACCCGTCCAGAAAGAACCTCCCTGGAGTGTTGCTGCTCGGAACCCTCACAACCGCGTCTGATCCGCTCATTTGCCCGTCCGGCGTCCAGCCTATAGCGAACCAGCTCTTAGCGGAGACGCTCCCTGCCTTCGCCTGTAGCGCGAGTCGCAGGGTGGACCCGGTTGTAGCCGCCCAATGGAGGGTCAACCTGGAAAACGACAAAGAGAGCGAGGCGGTGCGGGCGGGAGGTGGAAGGGTAGTCGACTCAGAAGTCAACACGGGAGGTGAAGGGGAGGAGATTTTTCTCCGAGAGCCACGACGAAGACGGCTGAGTTTTTCGAAATCTGCTCCAGCCTAGGAGGCTATTTTCGAATCGATTCAAAAAAATAGTTTTCCGAGAGCTACTGCAGTCTAGGAGGCTATTTTCGAGCTAAAAAAATAGTTTTTCTTTTTCTGAGAGCTACTCCAGCGTGGGAAAACTCTCGGAGAGTGCTATCATGGCCCTCTCCAGCCTAGGAGGAGACGTGATACGGCGAGTTGACTTTTGAGTCGACTCAAAAGTCAACTTGCTATCACGGCTCTCCCCAGCCTAGGAGGAGACGTGATACGGCAAGTTTTGAGTCGACTCAAGAGTCACCTTGTGAACTCTCAAAGTCAAGTTGAAAATGTACCTGTACCCGTTATAGAGTGACTTGGGTCGTCTGAACCGAGGTGAATATTGGGTTGTCTTGGGCAGCAAGGAAAGGGGCTCGCTCGTACCCGCCATAGAGCGACTTGTGCCGTGTGAATCGCAACAAGCTGACTCTTGCGTCAAGTCAATAGGGAAAGAAAAGAGGGTCGGTAATACATACCCGCCATAAAACGACTTGGAAGTAGTATATCCGGGGAGGCTGGACGGCTGGCATCGGCGGAACGCGCCCAGCACGTTGCGCAGCTGCGGCGGAAGAGCGTTCGCGGAACGCGCGGGGGGCGCGCTTTGAGTCGCCTCGTTGGAGTGCGCAAGCGCGGCTTGCGCGGTGTGCGATGGAAGCTCTGTATGTGTAGCTTCAAGGGAGCGCGCGGAATGCGCGCAGGGCGGGTTCGCGAGCAGCGCAAGAAGCGGAAGCGCCAGGCAGAGGAAGGAAAGGCGGTCGGCGGAGGATGTTGGCGGTCGCGGGGAAAGCCGGCGGTAGCTCGGCGGAAGGACAGGTGCATTAGTTCTATTGATATCATTCAGGGAGATATATCGGAATGGGTGTAGATTGGACAAGGTATGTACGTCTGACCGAGTCGCATCCCTGCAGCCGCCCTTAATGATTCTCTTATCTGCACGGCACGTGTATGTCGCACGGCAACGGCCACCTCTGCCCCTTTGCGACAACATCGTACCGAACGCGTCTATGATCGCTTATTTTTCTGCTATAGTCGCTGCTCACCTCCCTACTGTCGAGGTGAATTTTGAGTCAACTTTTAACTTTTCTGCTGCTCCCGTCTGCTAATTATTGACGCACAGAAAATATCGTCTCTCCGCGCCCTGCGACGGCTCAAAGGTTCCTAGCATACTTAACAGGCTGTTAGCTCATCGAGAGGCCTGCGCCTCACGCTGCTCTAGTCGGCCGCTGCTTACGAGCTGCGGCGTGTGGCAAGGCGGCAGTTGGGCGAGCGGCGGAGAGGGAGCACAAAAGGTGAGCTCCTGCTGCGACTTCGCTGTTTAGTGGTGTTGCTGCTTTTGCTGCTGTTTCTGCTTCTAAATTCGGCTTGGGAAGAATGAGCGACGTGGGGCGAAATGTCGGTTCTTGAGGGATTCGGTTGGTGTTCGGCGACTCGTCGGAGTGGCAAAGCAGATACCGTACGGGGCTGGTTTGCCGGAGTCGGTTTGCCGCATCGACAAATCATCTAGACGGCATAGTATCGACAGGTTCGAGCTCCTGTGGTTTCTGGAAATGAGAAATGGAGAGAGGCTTTCCCAGTTTGCAGTCCGCCAAAAAAAACCAGCACGTTCCGAAAGCTGGGTGCAACACCCTGAAGAATGCAGCCACAGCGCATTTGTACATGACATTTTTAGACATCTCGAGCCGCGTCATTTCGCTAGTGCACCGCCACCGACCTACATTCCATAAAATTCTATGACACGACCAGACGACCATCACAATTGACAGTGTCCCCGTTATCTGTGTGTTCATTGAGTACAATAGAACATGGTTTCAATTCCTTCACAGAAAAAGGGATTTGAAAATGGAAACCTGCAAAAACGGCTCATTGCACGGTCTCCCTAATACTGCAGATTGCTCATTGGCAACTTACGGTATGGACCAGTTACGTGTTGATTCATAGGACGCTGCCTGCTGAAACCATAAAGTCGTTTCAGAAGGAAAAACAACAGGTGTCAAACATTGTGAAGCTATTTATTACACCCACATGCATTTCAAACACACGTCCTGTTTCTCATTGTACCCACGAGAAGTGGGTCGGGAGAAGCTTAGGCCTTGCAAAACATGAAGCCAAGAGGTCCTTTGCATGGATTGCAACCCAAGTTGACCTTGACAATTTCACTGCCACAGCAAGCAAGAAACAATGAACAAGTTTCCACACACAACAACCAGTTGGCACAACCAAGTTAACAGATTTCACGCATGATTATTTGAAAAATAGGATGACGAAACGAATTACCAACACATTGACCTGTGCGTGCAACCAATCTCGTGCGACTTACTCGTGGTCGTGCTCGACACTGGTGTCGTACGGTGTAGTCTTGACAACGAACATAAGCGTGTTCTTCCCCTTGGGCTTGATAGCTACGGACCCTCCATCCCCTACCTTCCGCTGAAACCTGAAGAGGAAAAAAAAGAGACGCTTTGTTAGTTGAAGTTTCGGGTTAACGTTCAGCGAGCCTGAAATCTCGCATTTAGCCGCAACCTCAGAAACAGGCTGTTTCTGCACGTCACATTGAAGTAAGTTCGTTTAAACGGCCTTACTAAGTATACAACCCGCGATTCCAGCTATGGATTCAACTGTCTGCCTGTTTCAGCTGTCTGTTCCAGCTTTGAGATTTGAGATTTGGAACGAATGCACCAGAGCGCAACTTACTTGAGAGACGACGGGCCGCCGCTTTTCTGCTTGAGCGTCAGCACATCGGGACTCCACGAAGCGTCCGCGACTCCGCTCGTCGACGCCCCCGTGAGAGCCAAGACCTTGGGGGTTGACGAATCGCTCGAGACCGCGAATGCGTCGCCCGTCATTTCGCCGTCGTCGGAAAACCCGACGCTATACCATCCCTTGCTGCGGAATCCGTTGCCTTTCAGGAGGAAATTAACCGTGGTGGAATCGACGACTTTCCAATGGAGGCTTAAGCTGTCGAAAACATAAAATAAAGGAGACATTGTGCACGAGACGTTCGAGGAACTCAACATGAATAACTGATTCAATTTGGGGAACAAATACGTCAGTTCATCTGTGTTGGAACGAGGATCAAACGCTTACCCTTTGATTGGGGAGATCGCTGAAGTGTACCCTTTGACCCACGAGAAAGAGCATCCCTGAATCAGCGCCGGAAGCGACAACATAAAGAGGACTGCGACAACACGCATTGTAGTAGCCATTGTCGCTGTCTCGATATTCCGTGAGCTGGCCGTTGTGATGATTTCTTCGCAAATGAAGAGCCTTGATTTGCGCAGCAGACGGAACGGGATAGCTGCGTCACGTCGAAAGTGCAACGAGGAGATGGGTTTTGGTTGGTGCCTTCTCAGGTGCAAATTGGCGGCGGAGCTTGGAAGTTGGAAGTGACAGTCGGGGTGGGTTGTGGCGGCAGGTGGTGGGGTTGGGGGCTGGATGAGAGAGATGGGAGAAATGCGAGGACGGGGGAACTGGTGGAGTAGTCAATCGCCTGCCACCTTTGTAGTAAACCGAGGAGGGCACAACACGCTGGGAAAGGTGGGGATAGGCCTGGGCGGGAGGCTGGCCTTGTGAAGTGAGGAGGACCGGCGGCGGGAACCGCACCAGACCAGACCAGCTGGTTTGGTGGTGCTTTCTTGACGGCGGGCAGATGACGGAGCAGGCTTGGTTATACAGCTCTGTGTGCCCAGCAAAGATGTTGATTTTAATCCGAAACTTGTGAAAGTTTTTGACAAGGAAACAGGGCCTTCTCTGGTGTGGTTCAATTACAGCTACACCACTCAACACGCTTTGTCGTGAACAATTGCACTTCCATACAGCTTCGACTGCAGTTTTGTACACTCCCATGTGTTCCATCCTCAAACTAGTCCTTTCAGTCGATACACCCAGCTACGGGAAGTGCGTAAAACCAAAAGAAGTGGTTTGGTTACTTTAGTGCACTGGGTCAGTACCCAAACCACGCCATTGGGAGGAAAAAGCACAAGCCGTACACCATTCCGCTGGGAGTTACCACAAGCTTTGGAGATGAGATTTGGTTGTGTGTTGTGGTTCGGGAGCCACAGAGTGCGACTCGCCACAAAGCCGTACAGCTGTGGTAGGCTTATCACATGGACACACCTGGAGGGCTGGACTGGACCTACTATTGGCTGCCAACCAAGTGATACGGCGTTTGGCCCGTCGATTTCGTCGATCGCTCAAAGTCGTTCAAGAAACGGGCTCGATCTCCTATAAACGGGCAAATCAGAACACTGATGCACACCTGTTGACTCTGGAACGTCGCACAACGTCGCACTCCGTGTAGTCGACCTAGTTCACTCCACCACAAATGAAAAGCCTCGCTATTGAGAGACGGCACAGCCGTAAGTTGGAATTTTGCAATGCACAATCCGTAAAAAGCTCTGTATATGTTTAGGTGATCGAAAGGACTAGGTTGGAAAAAAGGACTAGGTGATCGAAACTCTGACTAAAAAGGGTGAGGCGAGGAAATATCAAGTCCCCATCACCAGTGGCAGACGAGTCAGCCGTGTGAATTTACTCTATTGTTACATGGGTTCAGCCACTGTCAAAGCTATGAATGGCACAAAACCAAGTTCCCATCACCACTGGCAGACGAGTCAGCCTTGTGAATTTACTCTATCTGTTGGGTTCAGCCACTGTCAAAGCTATGAATGGCACAAAACCAAATTCTTAGTATATGAACGACTGCCTATATTGAGCAGCTGCTGTTCTTGTTTAACGCCTTGTATCAGTGCGCCTATCAACGCGCCCGAACGGTTAATTGAACGTCTGGCAGAGCATCTTGCGGACGACGCCCGAGCAGCCATTGCAGGAGAGGTCAATCACGGCATGGCCGCTGTACGGGAGGGGAAGGAAGAGAGGGAAGGGAGGGAAGAGGGGGAAGGGAGGGGGATTGAGAAGGGGCACGGGGAGCAGATGGACGACATGTAGGAGGAGATTTGCAGAGGACGGAGGTAGGAGCCGCAGTCTTACAGCCTGGAACGTCAGAGAAATTCAGAAATCTATCAACTCAAAGATCTATCAAGGACTTGCAAGAGGTGCACGTACGAGTAGGCGTGGCGGGTGGATCCCGACCACGTGGTCTTGGCGAAGGCCCACGTGATGTAGTTGTTGCCCGAGGGGTTCAGCGCTACCTCTCCGCCGTCCGACGTGGTGCGAGTGAACCTGCGCGCATTCGAAAAAGGGTAATCGGATTACAGACGGTTAGCGAAAGGCCCACGTGATGTGGTTGTTACCCGAGGGCTTTTGCGGACCTCTCCGCCGTCCGACGTGGTGCGCGCGCGAACGAAACAGGGGGTCTTGATGATCTTTTAGTCCAGTGGGCGTCCTCCTTGATACCACCACCACCACGGCAATCACAGCTACTCAAATGTGCTTCTATCCGTGTCAGTTTTTGCAATAATGGATACTTACTCGATGGTGGTACCCGAGGGGGTCTTGGTGATCTTCAATCCAGTCGGCGCCCACCCAGTCGCGTCGGTCGCGCTGCTGTGGCCGTCAAGCGTGAGCAGCTTGGGAGCGCCGGCTTTCATGCTCTCCGCGATGATCGCATCGCCGTTCATCTTGCCGTCCTTGGAAAAGCCGACGCCGAACCACCCCTTGCCCGTCCCGCCGGGGCCCTTGGTCATGTGGAACGCGAATTTGATCGTGTCGCTGTCGACCTTCCTCCAATGCAGATGCACGCTGATAGCACGAGATGGAGAGGATGGTGGGTAAGGGGAGGAGAGAAGCGAGTGAGTCTGGCGAGGGACGAGAGGTGGAAAAGCACTCTGCACGAGATTACATTTTTTGAAACGTCAAGAGCAACTCTGAGAGTTGCTCGGGGATGCTTATGTGTGGATTGAGTGGAGGAGACACGTCTTTGCACATTCTGGACGAGGAAAGGAATTTACTTAGGGTAGACGAGGAACGATGACGTGTAGTCGCCCAAGCTAGACCATCCGCACTCCCGCAGTATCTGGCCCGGCACGAAGGGTGGTTTTTTCACCACCTTCCCGGCACTCGCGCCGTGAGAGGCGGCGAGGATGATGACAGCCTAAAGAGAAAGAGAGGGAGCGCGCGTGATGCGCTTCGAGGAGCCATAGCGACCAGAAGCGGGAGCGGGTCGGAAGACCGAGAGCGGGCGTGGGCGAGCTAGCCGCAGGGGAAGTGAGAGGGCGTTTGATTATACTATATTCTAAACACACCGAGACTAGTAGTGTCGGTTGGTGATTTTCATGGCGTCGAAAGGATGTGTGCGGAGTGGAGACGGTAAGCGGCGTAGTGTGACTAGGGGTGTAGGCAAGGGTGGCTTAAATAGATGACTGTGGCAAGACAGGCGCTGCGGGCTTGATATCCACCGACCGTCGGTCGTGTGATAATGCATTGAAATGCCACGCCGACGTGGACGGAGGGCGCGCCCGCCAAAATTATTATCCGTCTAACGGTGACGTCTCGCTCAGCTATCAGTTAACTCGTGCGACTGCACGGTAGGCACGTGCAAAGCGCCAGCTGTTACCTACATGCTCTTGCACGGTGTGTGCGTAGTGCGTGATCTGTTCTCAAGAGAAACAAGGTCATCGTAGTGTACTGAGAAAGGCAGAGATGTTGGGATACGAAAAGCCAAGGATGAGATGTCGTGAAATGCGCGCCTCAGAAATTTTTGTCGAGTCGCGTTTCTGAACACGAGGTTGTGTTGTGATTGGTTGATGGGTGGGTCTTATGTGAAGTGTGATGTGCGTGTGAGTTTGTGCCGCATATTGGATGCCATGCGCGGGACATGCGGCTGCAGCTCATCCAAGGGCTCTTGTGTGCATTGATGGCAGGCAGCTGAGACGATATTTAGCAACGGCGAAATACGGTGCCTAATTACACTGGAACATCAGAACAATATTCCTATCAGCTAAGTGCCGCACACAAGGAAATGACAAGTTTCACATACGGTATCTTGTGGATTTGCAAACCTTAGCGTGTTTTTTTGCAAACAAATCAATTTAATTGCACTTTAAAACAAATCGGTCAAACAATGTTAAATGTACACATGGATGCAAATCAAGACTTTGAAGCAAGAATAGATGACAAAATAGCAGCCATGCTTTGAGCTTCCTCTGAACCTCTTTTTCCTTTTTCAAATCCCTTCCCGTCCGCACTTTCCCCTTCTCCACCACCGCTTAGCAAAGCAGCATCCAAGCTGAGTTTCCGCTGGGCAATGTTCAAAATGCCCTCATCAACTGTGGCACGCGTCACGAGTCTGTGGGGGAGGGGTTGGCAGGACGATAACTCAATATATGATTAAAATGCGAAGTGTTGTCAAACGGGGCAAAAAAAAGCCTGGACGCATATCAGTGATATGTGCAAATTACTGTACAACTAACACCACAACGGTTAGCAGATGACCACGGAATGGTTACAACACCATTACGGTCACCATACATGTCGAAGCATGACGATAACAACTTCCTGCACAACAGTTACAACTCACCGCACGACAGTTACAGGCCGAGTCTGCCCGATCCGGTGACACCTGTCCTCCGCCTGCCGGTCCATCTGAGGATTAAAATCCACATCGTGCAGAATCACCGTGTCTGCCCCAGTCAGGTTCAAACCTTGCCCTCCTGCCCGAGTCGAAAGCAGCATCGCAAACACCGAGGGGTCCCGGTTGAACTCGTCCACCAGAGCCTGCCTTTGCACCACCTGCGTGCTGGTGCAGAGGGGAGAGGGGGGGAGGAGGGGAGGGGGGGAGGGGGGGAAGGGGGAAGAAACACATTGTTCGCCCGCCCGGGTGGAAAGCAGGAGCGAACACCGAAGGGTCCCGGTTGCACTCGTCCACCAGGGCCTGCCTCTGCACCACCTGCGTGCTGGTCGGGGGGAGCCCCAGCAGCCCCAGCACGTGCTGCAGAATGTCAAGCACAGGCGTCAATTGCCACTCGGTGCATCCGTCCTCTATTACCCTTCATTCAAGTAAATGCCCTTCCCTTTTACTTCCCTCCTTCCCCTCACTTCCCTTCCTCACCTGCCATCCAGTCTCAAAAAGGTGAGTCCCAGCAGCCCCAGCACGTGCTGCAGGATGTCAAGCACAGGCGTCAAGTGGTAACCACCCCACCGCAACCCACCACACCCGACATCACTCAATGTTCCTCAATGCCTCCATCCTCACCTGCCGTCCAGTCTCAAAAAGGTGAGCCCCAGCAGCCCCAGCACGTGCTGCAGAATGTCAAGCACAGCCGTCCATTGGCTGAACAGCAGCACTCGGTGGCCGTCGGATTGTAGCTGGGGAAGGAGCGTCGCGAGGGCCTGTGAGGGGAGATGGGGCAGGAGACAAGGAAAGATAGAGGAGGAGGTTTACATGAGGGGAAAGAAGACACGGATGCAGCACTCGGTGAGAGTCCGTTGGCTGAGGAGCCTAGTTTTGAGTCGACTCAAAACCGTGTGTGAGGAGCTTAGTTTTGAGTCGACTCAAAACTAGGAGCTCTCGGTGCATCCGTTACATGAGGGGAAAGATGACACGGATGCAGCACTCGGTGACCGTCCGTTGGCTGAGGAGAAGTGCTGAGTGACCGTTGGATCGCAGGTGGGGAAGAAGCGTCGAGAGAGCAGGTGAGATTGGGCAGAGGAGAAGGAAAGATGGAGGAGAAGGAAAGATGGAGGAGGAAGCGGGAAAGCGCATCGCTGTGGGCGGCACACAGCAAGTTCAGAGTGAAGTCGCTGTAGCCCCTCAGCTCCTCCTGCACCCCTCCCCGTCCCACGCAATAACCACCTCGTTTCCATCCATGCACCAACCATCCCCCCCTCTGGGCCACCTTCCCCCATTGTTCCCTTGCCTAGCCCCCCCTGCAAACCCACCTGGCACTTGCAGGAGTGGAAAAACTGTTCTCGGGAGAGCAGGAAGCGCGAGAGTGCGTCGCTGTGGGCGGCACACAGCGAGTTGAGAGTGAAGTCGCTGTAGCCCCTCAGCTCCTCCTGCACTCGCTGCCGCGTGCACTCCCCTCCAAACACACCCCTCCTGTGCAGCACCCCTGCCATCTCGTCCACTGCCGAGTCGGAGAAGAGGCGACGGACCAATAGGGGATGATTGGCGAGCTGGAGAGGGGGGGTGGGGGGGGGATGGGGTAGCGGAAGGGGAGATGAGAACACGCCCCCCTCCCATGCAGCACAGCCACCAGCTCGTGCATGGACAACTGGTTGAGCGTGAAGTCGCTGTGGCCCCTCTTGTGCAGCACAGACGCCATGTCGTCCACTGCTGTGTCGGAGAAGAGGCGACGGACCAGGAGAAGTTGGTTGGCGAGCTGGGAGGGTGAAGTGAAGGGAGACAGTGCACGTAATTGTGATTTTTGAGAATTCTCAAAAATCACTCACAAGTGGGAAGGGAAAAGCGGGACATGAGACACGCTCCGCCCCGCCCCGCCCCGCCCCGCCCCGCCCCGCCCCGCCCCGCTCCTGGGAAGAGAATGAAGTCGCTGTAGCCCTGTAGTTCCTCCTGCACGCGCTGCTGTGTGCACTCGCCCCAGAGCAGACACACCCCTCTTATGAAGAAAGAACTGACGCCATCTTGTCGACTTTCGAGTCTGAGGAGAGGCGACGGACCAGGAGTGGGTGGTTGGCTTTTGAGACGTCTCAAAAGTCAAAAGTTTTGAGACGTCTCAAAACTGACGCCATCTTGTCGACTTCCGAGTCTGAGAAGAGGCGACGGACCAGGAGTGGGTGGTTGGCGAGGTGGGAGGGTGAAGGGGGAAAGGGGGATGGGAGACACGGGGAATTGGATGCAAGAAAAGAGAGGATGAGGACAAAAGAGAGGATGAGGACAAAAGAGAGGAAAGAAAGAGAGACCATGAGAGAACAGAAACAACAAAAGGACAACGAACAAATTAAGGCTCCTCAACAGAAACCCTCCACAAGCTGTACCTCCACCAGTTGTACCTCCACCAGTAGTACCTCCACCAGTAGTACCTCCACCAGTTGTACCTCCACCAGTTGTACCTCCACCAGCTTTACCTTCCCCAGCTCTACCTTCCCCAGTCATACCTTCCCCAGTCATACCTTCCTCAGGTGAGTAAAGATGCTCGCCAGCTGTCTCCTCGGCATCGCATCCACCGCTGCTGCTGCTGCTGCTGCTGCTGCTGCCACAGCTGTCGTAACCCCCTCCGCTTCCCCCTCCCCCTGTTTCTCTCCCCCTCCCGCTCTCGCCACCACTGCCTTTCTGTATTGCTCGACAGCTTCATTGTACGCTGCTGCCTGCTCGCCCTCCATAGCCAGTAGCTCGACCTGCCAATAACGGGGATAGACACGGGGAGGAAAGGATACATGCTCGCATGTTACACCTCCCCACAGCTTCACTGTATGCTGCAGCTAGAGAGGGACAACTTCTGAGATGTCTCAAAAGCCTTTTGAGACGACGCAAGAGGAGAGGACACGTGCCACACAACCACGTGCCACGTGCCACACAACCACGTGCCACGTGCTAGTATGTTACACGTCCACACAACTTCAATTCACTGTATGCTGCTGCAAGAGGGAGACTAGTAAGAATGAACAAATCAATTTCACGGTGTGGTCACGGCTGCTTGACGCACAAGGCTGCGTCTAGAGTATTATCCACACCCATCCAAACCCATCCACACCCCTCTCACTCTCACCTACTGAACCTTCGCCACCCAGCTGTTTCATAACATCAGCTTTCACTCGCCGCAGCACAAACGGCCCCAGAATGGCCTTCATGCGCCCAATCAGCCCCTCGTCCGCTGGACCTCCTCTCATTCCCTCGCCCACGCCCATCCACACCCTTCCCCCCTTTTCTTACCTTCTGGACTTTCGCCACCAGCTGTTTCATAACGTCTGCCTTGACTCGCCGCAGCACAAACGGCCCCAGAATGGCCTTCATGCGCCCAATCAGCCCCTCGTCCGCTGGACCTCCTCCTCCTCCTCCTCCCTTCTGCGACGGCTGGTCCCTCTTGCCCAGGTATTCTGCTATGTCGCACTGGTGGGCGTTGAATATGGCTGGCATGAGGAACTCGAGTAGCGACCAGAGCTCCTGAGAAGAGTGAACGGGAAGGGCAGGACAGCAAGAAACAAGCACGAAGTGAGTATAGAGGGGAAAAAAAAAACCATCTCCCTCACACCTTCCTCCTCCCCCCTGGCACGGCAGGTGGTCAGCATGAGGAATTCCAGCAGCGACCAGAGCTCCTGGGAGGGGAGAGGAGACAGAGGGAGGAGAGGGAGAGAGGGAGCAAGGAGCGTGAAATGAGAGGAACAAAACCGCCTCCAGCCACCCAGGTCCAGCTTGCCCAGGTACCCTGCAGTGTCGCACTGGTGGGCGGTGAATATGGTGGGCGGTGAATATGGTGGGCGGTGAATTTGGTGGGCGGTGAATATGGTGGGCGGTGAATTTGGTGGGCGGTGAATATGGTGGGCGGTGAATTTGGTGGGCGGTGAATATGGTGGGCGGTGAATATGGTGGGCGGTGAATATGGTGGGCGGTGAATATGGTGGGCGGTGAATATGGTGGGCGGTGAATATGGTTGGTATGAGGAACTCGAGCAGCGACCAGAGCTCCTGGGAGGGGAGAGAGAGAGAAGAGGGGAGGATGGTTGCGAGGAGAGAGCAGGAAACGAGCAGGAAATGAGGGGGAAAAACAACACCTCCCCTGTCCACCCATCCCGTCTCCACCCCTGTCCATCCCGTCTCCACCCCTGTCCATCCCGTCTCCACCCCTGTCCATCCCGTCTCCACCCCTGTCCATCCCGTCTCCACCCCTGTCCATCCCGTCTCCACTCTTGTCCCAACCTCTCTCCACCCATCAGTCGATAATCCGCCTCTGCCGCGTGTGCCAGCTGCCTCACCTCAGCTTCATTGCGCTGCGCACCGGCTGCCCCTGTTCTTCAACAGGTGGGTTGACTTTTGAGTCGACTCAAAAGTCAACTCGCTTCATTGCGCACCGGCTGCCCCTGTTCTTCAACAGGTGGGTGGGTGGGCCTCGTGCGTCCATCAGCACTTCACTTTCTGATCCCATTCTGCAGCACACTGTTCAAATCACACTGTTCGCATCACACTGTTCACAGCACACTGTTCACATCATGCTGTTCACATCACACTGTTCACATCATACTCTTCACATCACACTGTTCACATCATACTCTTCACATCACACTGTTCACATCACACTGTTCACTGCTGCTCACCCACCTGAAGATCGTTCTGCAGAGGAGGCCCTGTGAGCATCAGACGGTAATCCGCCGCCCGTGCCAGCCAGCTGCCTCAGCTTCATCGCGCGCTGGCTGCTCCTGTCCTTGAGCAGGTGCGCCTCGTCCATCCATCCATCCATCCATCAGCACACCATGTCCCAAGCTTATGTTCACTGCTGCTCTGCTTGCACACCTGAAGGTCATTCTGCAACGAAATGCCCGTGAGCATGAGCCTGTAATCCGCCGCCTGTGCCAGCTGCCGCAGCTTCATGGCGCGCTGGCTGTTCCTGTCCTTCAACAAGTGCGCCTCGTCCATGCATCAGACATTTGAGTGGACTCCAAAGCACAGCATGCAGAAATACTCACCTGCAAGTCATTCTGAAGGGGCGTCCCTGTGAGCATGAGCCTGTAATCCGCCGCCTGTGCCAGCTGCCGCAGCTTCATGGCGCGCTGGCTGTTCCTGTCCTTCAACAAGTGCGTCTTGTCCATGCATCAGACCTTTGAGTGGACTCCAAAGCACAGCATGCAGAAATACTCACCTGCAAGTCATTCTGAAGGGGCGTCCCTGTGAGCATGAGCCTGTAATCCGCCGCCTGTGCCAGCTGCCGCAGCTTCATGGCGCGCTGGCTGTTCCTGTCCTTCAACAAGTGCGCCTCGTCCATGCATCAGACATTTGAGTGGACTCCAAAGCACAGCATGCAGAAATACTCACCTGCAAGTCATTCTGAAGGGGCGTCCCTGTGAGCATGAGCCTGTAATCCGCCGCCTGTGCCAGCTGCCGCAGCTTCATGGCGCGCTGGCTGTTCCTGTCCTTCAACAAGTGCGCCTCGTCCATGCATCAGACCTTTGAGTGGACTCCAAAGCACAGCATGCAGAAATACTCACCTGCAAGTCATTCTGAAGGGGCGTCCCTGTGAGCATGAGCCTGTAATCCGCCGCCTGTGCCAGCTGCCGCAGCTTCATGGCGCGCTGGCTGTTCCTGTCCTTCAACAAGTGCGCCTCGTCCATGCATCAGACATTTGAGTGGACTCCAAAGCACAGCATGCAGAAATACTCACCTGCAAGTCATTCTGAAGGGGCGTCCCTGTGAGCATGAGCCTGTAATCCGCCGCCTGTGCCAGCTGCCGCAGCTTCATGGCGCGCTGGCTGTTCCTGTCCTTCAACAAGTGCGCCTCGTCCATGCATCAGACATTTGAGTGGACTCCAAAGCACAGCATGCAGAAATACTCACCTGCAAGTCATTCTGAAGGGGCGTCCCTGTGAGCATGAGCCTGTAATCCGCCGCCTGTGCCAGCTGCCGCAGCTTCATGGCGCGCTGGCTGTTCCTGTCCTTCAACAAGTGCGCCTCGTCCATGCATCAGACATTTGAGTGGACTCCAAAGCACAGCATGCAGAAATACTCACCTGCAAGTCATTCTGAAGGGGCGTCCCTGTGAGCATGAGCCTGTAATCCGCCGCCTGTGCCAGCTGCCGCAGCTTCATGGCGCGCTGGCTGTTCCTGTCCTTCAACAAGTGCGCCTCGTCCATGCATCAGACATTTGAGTGGACTCCAAAGCACAGCATGCAGAAATACTCACCTGCAAGTCATTCTGAAGGGGCGTCCCTGTGAGCATGAGCCTGTAATCCGCCGCCTGTGCCAGCGGCCTCAGCTTCATGGCGCGCTGGCTGTTCCTGTCCTTCAACAAGTGCGCCTCGTCCATGCATCAGACATTTGAGTGGACTCCAAAGCACAGCATGCAGAAATACTCACCTGCAAGTCATTCTGAAGGGGCGTCCCTGTGAGCATGAGCCTGTAATCCGCCGCCTGTGCCAGCTGCCGCAGCTTCATGGCGCGCTGGCTGTTCCTGTCCTTCAACAAGTGCGCCTCGTCCATGCATCAGACATTTGAGTGGACTCCAAAGCACAGCATGCAGAAATACTCACCTGCAAGTCATTCTGAAGGGGCGTCCCTGTGAGCATGAGCCTGTAATCCGCCGCCTGTGCCAGCTGCCGCAGCTTCATGGCGCGCTGGCTGTTCCTGTCCTTCAACAAGTGCGCCTCGTCCATGCATCAGACATTTGAGTGGACTCCAAAGCACAGCATGCAGAAATACTCACCTGCAAGTCATTCTGAAGGGGCGTCCCTGTGAGCATGAGCCTGTAATCCGCCGCCTGTGCCAGCTGCCGCAGCTTCATGGCGCGCTGGCTGTTCCTGTCCTTCAACAAGTGCGCCTCGTCCATGCATCAGACATTTGAGTGGACTCCAAAGCACAGCATGCAGAAATACTCACCTGCAAGTCATTCTGAAGGGGCGTCCCTGTGAGCATGAGCCTGTAATCCGCCGCCTGTGCCAGCGGCCTCAGCTTCATGGCGCGCTGGCTGTTCCTGTCCTTCAACAAGTGCGCCTCGTCCATGCATCAGACATTTGAGTGGACTCCAAAGCACAGCATGCAGAAATACTCACCTGCAAGTCATTCTGAAGGGGCGTCCCTGTGAGCATGAGCCTGTAATCCGCCGCCTGTGCCAGCTGCCGCAGCTTCATGGCGCGCTGGCTGTTCCTGTCCTTCAACAAGTGCGCCTCGTCCATGCATCAGACATTTGAGTGGACTCCAAAGCACAGCATGCAGAAATACTCACCTGCAAGTCATTCTGAAGGGGCGTCCCTGTGAGCATGAGCCTGTAATCCGCCGCCTGTGCCAGCTGCCGCAGCTTCATGGCGCGCTGGCTGTTCCTGTCCTTCAACAAGTGCGCCTCGTCCATGCATCAGACATTTGAGTGGACTCCAAAGCACAGCATGCAGAAATACTCACCTGCAAGTCATTCTGAAGGGGCGTCCCTGTGAGCATGAGCCTGTAATCCGCCGCCTGTGCCAGCTGCCGCAGCTTCATGGCGCGCTGGCTGTTCCTGTCCTTCAACAAGTGCGCCTCGTCCATGCATCAGACATTTGAGTGGACTCCAAAGCACAGCATGCAGAAATACTCACCTGCAAGTCATTCTGAAGGGGCGTCCCTGTGAGCATGAGCCTGTAATCCGCCGCCTGTGCCAGCTGCCGCAGCTTCATGGCGCGCTGGCTGTTCCTGTCCTTCAACAAGTGCGCCTCGTCCATGCATCAGACATTTGAGTGGACTCCAAAGCACAGCATGCAGAAATACTCACCTGCAAGTCATTCTGAAGGGGCGTCCCTGTGAGCATGAGCCTGTAATCCGCCGCCTGTGCCAGCTGCCGCAGCTTCATGGCGCGCTGGCTGTTCCTGTCCTTCAACAAGTGCGCCTCGTCCATGCATCAGACATTTGAGTGGACTCCAAAGCACAGCATGCAGAAATACTCACCTGCAAGTCATTCTGAAGGGGCGTCCCTGTGAGCATGAGCCTGTAATCCGCCGCCTGTGCCAGCTGCCGCAGCTTCATGGCGCGCTGGCTGTTCCTGTCCTTCAACAAGTGCGCCTCGTCCATGCATCAGACATTTGAGTGGACTCCAAAGCACAGCATGCAGAAATACTCACCTGCAAGTCATTCTGAAGGGGCGTCCCTGTGAGCATGAGCCTGTAATCCGCCGCCTGTGCCAGCTGCCGCAGCTTCATGGCGCGCTGGCTGTTCCTGTCCTTCAACAAGTGCGCCTCGTCCATGCATCAGACATTTGAGTGGACTCCAAAGCACAGCATGCAGAAATACTCACCTGCAAGTCATTCTGAAGGGGCGTCCCTGTGAGCATGAGCCTGTAATCCGCCGCCTGTGCCAGCTGCCGCAGCTTCATGGCGCGCTGGCTGTTCCTGTCCTTCAACAAGTGCGCCTCGTCCATGCATCAGACATTTGAGTGGACTCCAAAGCACAGCATGCAGAAATACTCACCTGCAAGTCATTCTGAAGGGGCGTCCCTGTGAGCATGAGCCTGTAATCCGCCGCCTGTGCCAGCTGCCGCAGCTTCATGGCGCGCTGGCTGTTCCTGTCCTTCAACAAGTGCGCCTCGTCCATCAGAACACACGAGAACCGGAACCTGCGCAGAAACTTCCGGTCGTCTCTCTGGGCGGCGCTGTCCCTCTCAAACAGCGAGTAGCACGTCAGCAACACATCAAATCCCAGCTTCCCCCCTTCCTCGTCCTCCTCCCCCTCCCCCTCCCCTCCACTACCCTCTTCCCCTCCTCCTCCCTTCCTCCGCCTCTCCTGCCGCCTCTCCTTCTTCCCCTTCTTGCCCTTCTTCCCCTTCTTGCCCTTCTTCCCCTTCCCGCCATACAGCTCCCGCAGCGCTGTCCTCTGCCCCCCGTGGTACAGCACCACGCGCAGCTGCGGGCACCAGCGCTGCAGCTCGCGCTGCCAGTTGTCGAGAAGTGACGCAGGAGCAACCACTAAATGGGGCCCGGGGTTGTTGTCAAGGTGAGAAAGCAGCCCCAGCAGAACCACCGCCTGAAGGAAAGGAGGAAAAGAGTTGCGGGATTCGGGGAGTTTGGCTGATTGGGGAAACTGGGGGAGATTCATGTACAGCACCACGCGCAGGTGCGGGCACCAGCGCTTTTGAGTCGACTCAAAATTCAGAGTTTGGCTGATTGGGGAAACTGGGGAAGATTCATGTACAGCACCACGCGCAGGTGCGGGCACCAGCGCTTTTGAGTCGACTCAAAAGTCAGAGTTTGGCTGATTGGGGAAACTGGGGGAGATTCATGTACAGCACCACGCGCAGGTGCGGGCACCAGCGCTTTTGAGTCGACTCAAAAGTCAGAGTTTGGCTGATTGGGGAAACTGGGGGAGATTCATGTATAGCACCACGTGTAATGAGTCGAGTTTTGAGTCGACTCAAAACACCACGCGCAGGTGCGGGCACCAGCACTGCAGCTCGCTCGCGCTGCTAGTTGTCCAGGAGAGACACAGGGGCCAGGCCACCACTAGGTGGGGACCAGGGTTATTATCTAGGTGAGCAAGCAGCCCCAGCAGCACCACCGCCTGAAGGAGGAGTGTTGGGCGGGGACTAGGGATTGGGAATTGGGGTGCTCAAGGAGCACATCTGTCTGCGCCCCTGCTGCCCCCCATGGTACAGCACCATGTGCAGGTGCGGGCACCTGTGCTGCAGCTCGCATTGCCAGTTGTCCAGGAGTGAGGTGGGGGCGAACATATGGAACACGGGATGAGAAGGTTGGAGCACCAACATATCGAATGAGCCTATCAAAAAGGAAAAAAACAACGAAGTCAGCAACCACACAATCAAACACATGCAGCCAACTAATGAGGATGCGATTTGAGGATTTTTATGTCTAACGAGACTAATTTTGAGGTCGGACTGCGTAGGGTTGCTGCTGGATATGCACAGCACAGCTCATTGACTTCAAAACCAGTCACGTTAGACATAAGAAATCCCCAAATTTCATCCTCATCAGTTGACCGAATGTGCTTGCTTGTGTGGTCGCTTTCTGAGTCAGCCAACTTGGCTGCTTTTCTTTTTGGGCACCAACATATGGAATGAGAAGGGATGGGATGGGATGAGCCGAAATGGGGTGGGGTGGGGTGGGGTGGGATGGGAAGGGATGGGATGGGACGGGCATGTTTAGGGTCAAGATTCAGGTTGCAAGGTTTAGGGCTCAGGGTCAGGGTGATACTCATAAGGCTTTGGTCAGAGTTTACCTGCACAATATTGCTAATACCAAATTTGTCAGCACTTAAAGCTAATCCCTCAAAAATATGGATGTTAAGCCCAGGAATTGGATGTCAGACGTTCAATGTTCGGGAAAGGCATTGGCTTGTCAAACGTTCAATGTTCAGGGTTTGCGGTTTAGGATTCAGGTTTAAGGTTCAAAGACGGCTGTTCACCTGCACAGTCTTGCCGAGGCCCATTTCGTCCGCAAGGATTGCTGCACACATTGAACACAAACCAAGACACAGAGTTATTTAAATTAGGGTTCAAGTTCATTATTGCACACAACCGATGAACGAACACAAAACAAGACACTGAGCTAAGAGAGTCAACCTCAATTCCACAACTGCTCTCCGATAAAAAACGAGACGGAGGAGAGCACCAGAATATCAGAGAGCAATATCTGAGATATACATTCCTTACCACACACCTTCAAAAACCACCACTCACCTCCTCCAACCTTCTGTCGGTACAGCAGCAGCAGGGAGTTCACGCTCACCAGCTGGTACCCCTTCAGCTGCACACTCTCCCCACACGTCATTCACATTCTTGAATGCACCGCTGATTACCCCTCTGAATCACAACTCACCTCCCCCAACCTTCTGCTAATACAGCAGCAACAGCAGGAAATTCACGTCCACCAGCTGGAACTTCTTCAGTTCAGCTACACGCTCTTTCAAGCCCATACGACTCAAACCACGTTCACATTCTTATTGCACCGCCGCTTACCCCTCACGACCCACAACTCACCTCCTCCAACCTTCTGTCAATACAGCAGCAGCAGGAAGTTCACTCCCACCAGATAGCACCCCTTCAGTTGCACGCTCTCCCCACACGCCACTAAGACCATTCACATTCCATTTCTACCCCTGTTCACCCTTCAAAAACCACCACTCACCTCCCCCAGCCTTGTGCTGCTGGTACAGCAGCAGCAGCAGCAGAAGATTCACTCCCACCAGCTGGTACCCCTTCAGCTCAGCTGCACGCTCTTTAAAGCGACGGTGCACATTTGCCACCCAAAACCCAGAACCCTGGCGAACTGTTACTGCAGATGAAAAGTGTCTGCACGAAATCCTGGTTTTCGCCAGCCAACACTTTCGCGCTGGCAAGCCTGGTTCAAAAAAAAAACTTCTGAACCCAACACTGCCAAAAGTTGCCCGTCGCTTTAAAGCCCACACGTCTCAAACAGCATTCACATTCTTCTTGCACCGCTGCTTACCCCTCACAACCCACCACTCACCTCCTCCAACCTTCTGTCGGTACAGCAGCAGCAGGAAGTTGACTCCCACCAGCTGGTACCCCTTCAGCTGCACGCTCTCCCCACACGCCGCCGACACATCGTCCTGCGATATCAGCCTCGCAGCAGACTCGTCCGTCTCAGCATACCCACCCTCCAGTCCTCTCTCCCTCTTCTCCCCTGTTTCCTCCATCTCCCCCTTCTGCCCCTTCTGACCCTGCGTTCGCCCAGCAGACGCAAGAATCTTCTGTTTCAGCGCTGCAGCGATCTGCTCGCACTTCCTCAGAGCCTCCAGCACGGGATCGCTCTCCTGCTTCTCTTTCTCTCTGTACTCCCTCCCCCCCCCCCCCTCCCTCCTCCTCCTCTTCCTCCTCGTCCTCATCCTCCTCTGCCTCCTCCTCCTCCTCCCATTCCTCCAGTGACCTCCTCTCTCTCACAGCTGCCCTGCCTGCTGCGCGCACACTCCTCCTTGTCACCACTACCTCCTCCTCTTCCCCCTCCTCTCCTCCTCCTCCCCCTCCACCTCCCCCGCCTCCTCCTCCTCCTCCTCCGCCCCCATCACCCTCGCCATCTCCCCACTCCTCCTCGCCCTCCCACTCCTCGCTCTGAACATACCTAGCCGGCCTTCTCGCCCGCTCCGACCGCCTCACCCACTCTCCCTTCTTCTGCCTCCCTTTCGAACCCTTCCTCTTCCTCCCCACAAACACCTCCTCATCCTCCTCCTCTTCCTCCTCCAGCTCTAATCCCTCTAGCTCCTCAATCTCCTCCTCTATCTCCTCTTCTATATCATCCTCAACAATCCAATCATCCTCCTCATCCTCCCACCGATCCTTCCCCGATTTCTTCCCTCCCTTCTTCCCTTTCCCCTTCCCCTTCCCCTTCTCCTTCCCCTTCTCCTTCCCCTTCCCTACCCCCTTCTCCCTCCCCTTCCCCGTCCCCTTCCCCTGCTCCTCAACCGGCCCAGGAGCATCTCTAGCGGAGCGCCAGCCCTTGCTAGGGGCGTGCAGCGCCAGCAGGCGCGCGCGCAGCTCCTCTCTCTCCGCCCTCTGCACAGCCGCGCTGCTGCCAGGGGCCATTTGCGGACCCCCCTGGGTGCGGCCCTCTTGGGGCTGCCGGACTCCGAAGAACCTCCTCGCGTTGAAAGTCGCTGGTGCAGCAGCAGTGGTAGCACCGCCCCTTCCTGCATCATCATCCCCTCGTTCATCCCCTCGTTTGAATGGCGAAATCCGCTTCCCCTCCCCCCACTCCTCCTCCTCATCCACCTCCTCCTCCTCTTCATAATCCCCATCACTGCCATCACTACCAGCCAGAACGATCTTCCGCCTCTTCCTCTTCCCCTGCATCCCCCCATCACCCTCTCTTCCTCCCACCCCAGGCGACGAATCTGCCAACAACCCCGCACGCCCAAAACCCTCTCCCTCTCTTTCCACAACCCTAAACCCTTCAATCTCGTCCTCCACTTGATCACTCCCGGCCTGATCCGCACTGCGGGTGGCAGCGATCGCACTACCAGCCAAGCCTCCCCGCCCACCTCTCTGTAGCCTGCGAAACCCATCTCTAACAACACCTTCCCCTTCCCCCACTACCCTGCCGCCCAGCGGCCCTGCCCGCACGCCATCCCCGTTACTGGACGCTCCAGTAGCAGCAGTCGTGCACGACGTATCCTCACGAGCGCTTAACTCCGCTGCGTTCGCGTTCAGCCGCCTGGGAACACGGAAGGGGCCCATTACAAGTGGCTGCTGCCGCTGCTGCAGCTGGGATGCTCGGCTAGAGAACGACAGAGTGCTGTTACCGGGCAAGTTACCAGCACTACCAGCAGCAGAGGCATCAGCACCAGCAGTAGCACCAGCAGTAGCACCAGCAGTAGCGCCAGCAGGACCAGCAATACTAGCAGCAGCACTAACAGCAGTAACGCCTCCCTTTTCCCCTACCTCTCCCCCTTGCGACTGCCGTCCAAGCAGGCGCGACCGCGGCTTGAAGTTTGACAAGCTCTGCAGGCGGCGAGTGTGCGCGAACGAGTCAATGGACGGAAGAGGAGGCGACAATAATGCGGATGAACCTCCAAGTCCCTTTTTTTTCTCATTGCCTTCATTCCCCTCCTCACCAGCAGCAGCAGCAGCAGCAGCAGCACCACCACCAGCAGCAGCAACAGCATTACGCTCGGTCTGCTGCACCGGTTTCGTCAGCTGCTGAAGGGGCTTGATCTGGTTCGTCTAGGAATTGCCACAGGCTCTGTGCTGTTACTGCGAACACCGCTGCCTGTTTTCCCGTTACAAGCACTCCCGTTAGTAAGCATCCCATTTACGGATCGCACACGCTGTGAGGATATACTGGCGTCATGCCCGCCGCTCCGTCCCGTACGGAAATCTTGAGTTGAAGCCCTCCCTTTTTCCTCCGGGCTACTATCGGCCACTGAAATTTTCTGCTGTCCGAAAAAACGGCTGCCGACAACTCCCTTGCGCGCCTGCTGACGTGGCACTTCTTCCTGCGGCAGCTGCTGCGGTTCGTGGCCATCCCGAGGTTCCAGCTCCGCGTTTTCGTTATTGCCAGGTTCGATATAGTCGTCCAACGGACCCAGAATCCTGGCTCCTTCGATTCGCATGGGACCACCGTCTGTGTCCAGATCCGGTGAATCTGACGCGCATTGGAACGCGGCGGAAAACGACTCTGCGACGGTTGCCGTCGACGGCGCAAACCCGCCGAGACCACGATACATATTGGAGCCGACTTATAAATTCTTTACAAGAGATTGCAATACGTATAGGAAACGCTTTTAAAATTCTGAAAGGACTCGATAGGGAAACATGCCGTGTAAAAATGGGTGGGCTTACGATCGAGGTAACCTAAGAACGGACTTTCGGAACGGATAGTATGTAGGCTATGGGTAGAGCCTCAGGCAAACTAAACACCTTGGCTTTAAGGCGCGTGTGGATCCAAGCGAAACAAGCTGTCCGAACCTTCAAGCGAGGAATCGGGAAAATGTCTGAACCTTCAAGCTTTTCCTAATATCGCAGACAGTGATCAAGCAGTTCGATGAACGTAAACTACTCAAAGTCTCGCATGGTGAAGCGATATGGAGAGTACTTACTGAGAAACACAACATGAGAATCTGGCAGTAACTGGTAACAGTATACACATGCTTCGACGCGCTCGCTCCCACCTAAACCGGCGCAACGAACGCACAGCTAACTTTCAGATTCTACAAAGGCACGCCGGCGAATCAGATCAAACTACACACTACAGCCTGGATTGGATCCAAAGCGAATGCGGCTCCGGCAAAAAGAAGGCGGCGCAAGGAATTCATTTTCGGAATTTGGTATGGCCATGATGGTGGTAAAGAGCAAGTGCAATCGCTCGATCCCCTTGACACAAAGCAGTTCTGCTTCGTCTGTAGCAAATTGAAGGAATGACTGAAGTAATGACTGCTTTGCCAAAGCTGGATGACCAAACCACGTGAAGCTGAAAGAGCTTTGTTTCGTTCAAACCGGACCCAAACGTTTTAAATTCTGATCAAACCGCTCGGAACCACATTACATTTCTTACTGATTGATGACCTTTTCCCGACAACACGTTGCTGCTCAGCGAAAAGCTTGAACTCTGGAGGATCTGCAACTTTGAACGACTGGTTGGAAACGGACGGCTATGATGGAGCCCTCGAAATTGGTGCATTCCGCCAAAAAAGAAAACCTTCGACAGGGACCTCGTTCGCTAGTAGTTAAACTCATGCATCCAGTGCTCATTCTATGCATTTTTTTTTTGTTAGGTAAAACACACAGATCATACGCGCCACCAGACAAGATGAACGTCAAGGGGACATAACTCCAGGAATAAAGAAACATTGCATTGTTCGCACTCATCAAATCACGAATGGATAACACTTCGTTGCGCTCCACGCCATATTTTCCCAATAGAAACACCATCAACATGAATCTCCGTAATGAATCCCTTCTCCATATTCTTATGACCAATCCAATCCCAAACCTACATAGCTGCTCCCCAACAAAACCCTCACCGCACCGCTTCCTCTGCCCCATCCTCCTGCGCCTTCCTTGCTCGCTCCAGCAGAATTCTCGCAATCCTCTGCCGCTTCTCCTCATCAGCAGTCGGCTCTACCACTCGGCTTGGCCCTCTCGGCCCTCCCCTGCTGCCACCCCCCATGTTACTCCACCAGCTCCCACTGCTTCTCCTCCCACCACTTTCACCATCGCCACTGCTGCCATCACTACCACTATGTCTTTGGCTTCCCTCCTCCTCATTCCCACCTGTTCTGCTACTGTTGCTTGTTAGGGCATGGCTGATCGCTGCTCCTGTTGGTCCCCTGCCGAATCCAAGCCCATCCAGGGAAAGCACTCCTCTTCTACTTCCACTCCCACTCCCACCACCAACACTGCTGCTGGTACCGCTGCTGGTTCCTCTAGTCAAATCACTCTGTGCTGGATTTGGCAAAGAGCTACTGCTTCTTTTCTCTCCATCGTACTCTTCATCCCCTTCCCTACTTTTCTCTTCCTCCTCCCGACTTGGATAATGGTAAAATCGGGTGAAGTTATCCATTTTGCTCATTATAAGCACAGCTGGGAACAGGAGGCAGCCCAGGGCCAGTCCAATGCCGCAAACCAGTGCAGGCAATCGCCTGCTGCCAGGTGTCGCAACTGGATTCGACGAGGTGAAGGAGGAGGAGAAAGGCCCGTGGCGGACATTGCGGTGGGAGCGTGCGTGAGGGTGGTGGGAGTGAGTGTGGTGGTGTGAGGGAGTGTGGAGGAGGTAGTTGTAGGCTTCTGTGATTCGCCGAAAGGCGTCTGCATCACCCGTAGTGTTCACATCTGGGTGGCTGAAGTGATGGAAAGGGAGATGCAAGGGAAGAGATAAGGGTTTAATGTTATAAGCGTATATTGATCACAGCAACCATGCAATGCCTTTTTCTATCATTGACTTGCATGAAGAAAGGAACATGTAAATGTCAAACGACTGGTACAAAAGACTGGGTATACACCCCATCCCACTCTCCCCTCAACAACCACCCCCCCCCCCCCCCCCCCCTTCCCTCCCCTCCCCCCCTGAAACCCAGATTCCGAGGTTCTGTAAGGGGGTGGTGCATCTTTTTTCCTTCTTCATTTTTCTTTTGTTGCTCTCCCAACCTCACTGTACTACAGTTCTGCAGAAACCCTGCTGCAGAATAGGATTTCTGACCCTCATAGCTTCTCTCGCAGCGTGAAAGGCGTCGTCTTACAGTTTAAGCGCCAGTCGCCGGTAGGCCGCCTTCACTTGCGCCAGCGACGCGTCGTGCGGCACTCCCAGCAGCGCGTACGCGTCGCCGTGCGACCGTCGCACCATGATGGCCTGATCGCCTGCGACGTTGAGTGTCGCTCGCGACGTCGGAACACGGTGTGCGCGCTGTATGTCCTCTGCGACAGCGACAGGTGCTTTGCGGGATAGCACTAGGGCTACGATCCCGTGCCTCCGTATTTAATGAGCGTGTAAGAGATGCTACCCAAGGCCGTGAGAGTTGAGCGGAAAACGCGGCAAGCTGGCGGGGCCAACGAGATTAGGAGCTACTACCTACGATGACGTGGAAGGTAACAAGGGTGGTTACCGGAGAAGGCGAAATTCGCCATCGTGCCTATGCAAACTCGCATCTAAGTGCCGAAGCTTCCCGCAGCGAAACTTAATCGAGACATGTCACTGACTTGATCGAGGGGGAGCATAGTCACGCCACTCTCTTTACATCCATTGACGTCTCTTACTCGTTATAGTATCATGGCTATCATGTGCAAGCACGGACCACCACTGCACGGAAAGGATGCATCCTGCAAAAAATCTCTACGGAGGAATCTCTAGGTCCATAATCATCCCTTATAAGCTTGCTGAGCCCGCGGTTGCCGCGATTGCCTGAGGAATACGCTGGGGGTCTGCGGCCTAGAATCGTGCGCGTGGCGCCTGACACGTCACCATGGACTTACCAGAGAAGCTTCTGGCGATGCTTCTTCGGAGGTACGAGGTGGCTGTGGTGAGGCGAGGTGGGGCTCGGTGTTTGCGATAGTTACTGCAGAAATCAAGTTTCGTCGCAGGCGGAACGAGGCCAGAGAGTTTTGTTATGGACTGTTACACGACCATCATACTCGATGAGATGGCTCACTTCGCGAAAGTCGTGAGAGTTCGTCCGTCTTCGCAGCTACCCTCTCGGCCTCCCTAGTTGCTCATATGCCTCGTTCGAGCAGCGGGCCAAAAATTATCTCTGGCCAGGCCAAGGAATATTGCGACAACCGTATATGTTCCCTCCATTTTCAAGCGTAGTGTATATTTCAAATCAAGTGTACTTATCTCTCTCTGCCTCCTCTCGGAAGCAAACGCGCTGACCTCGCCCTGTCGGTGCCTGCTTAGCCGACCAAGCTAAGCATGGGGTCCAGCTAACCAAGCCGAGCGTGGATGGAGCCCAGCTAACCGAGCAGAGCATGGAGGAGCCTAGCAAACCAAGTAGAGCAGCCTTAGTGACTGGCTGTAGCGATCACGACAATGGACAATTCCTAGGCTTCAGGCAAGCCGTCGTTTGCGTCCACTCAGAAGTCGGCTTGGAAAAGGTGGAGCGATGGAGGGAGAGCGATGCGGAGGCGACGGGCTGAAAGGAGCCATGTGTAGCCGTATCGCTCCGCGACATTTGTTCTGCGATTCTCAGCAGGAACGAGTCGTCGGAATAGCTCGAATCGGCGTAACTTGAAGTTGATATCGCTGACGAGCAAGAGGAGGGATTGATACTACTACCACCCTTTCAAGAAACATACTGAAGGTGGCGAAACTACTTCCTTTAGTAAGGATTCACTCTGACTTATCTGTAAAGCGTAAACAATTCTGAAATTCAAATAAATAATAAACATAAAAGAAGATCACTTTCTTTGTCCCAAGTATACGCGGTAACAATGACGCCATTCATCGCACCGCCCTTCGCCACACGTCTCAGGTTCCTACCGTTGCTGGTTTCCCTCCTGCTCCTCCTCCCTAGTGAACCCTCTCTGGCTAATTCTGACGTGGCGCGACGTTCCGACGTGGCGGCTAGTCACTACGAACCACAGAAGCGGCGATCGCTGCTATTCAGTCGCTGCTCCAAGTCGGGGATTCCAGGCTTCACTTCCTCCAAGCGCCTCGCAGGCGGGTAAGGCACGAAATCCTACCACAGTGGCGGGAAGGAAGGAAGGTCAAGTCTGCGAAATCCTAACTAAGGCGCCTCAAAAATCGCCTCACAGTAGGGTAAGGCGCGACTGTTCTTGCACTTGGCGCGCTACCACAGGGGCCAGCAGTAAGGCCAAGTTCGCGGAAGGTCCACTCGTGTGATTCCCCACTCTATTGCCCGCGGATGCCTCACTTCTCTGGTCGGCCGGCCACCAATTTTTGTTCTTGAATCGCCATTCTGCTTCCAGTCTATGCCTTCATTGGAACACCTTTGCAGCCAGCAGCAAAGAAGCCTGAATGAGGGCCCTCAAACATCCTGTCTTGTCCTCCTTCCCATCCTCCCCCCCCCTCCCCCTGCCCTCCCAACCTTTTCTCCACCAGCCTCTTCCTTCATTGGAGGGCCACCACAGGGGGCAGCAAGAAGGTGAAACTCGCGCTGCTGGCAACGACTGGGTCTCTTGCCGCCCACGGATGGTTCTCTGCCGGCTGGTCGCCGGGCGGCAAGATGGGCGGCAGCAATGTGATTGTGATGGATTCGCCATCCAGCCCTCCTGTGACTGCTGATCTGGTTGGCCATGCTGTCAGTGGTAGCCCTGCCACGTGGACTGCTGCGGATACGAGCATCACGAAAAATAATATGGGCATTATCATGAGGTGAGAGGTTTCTGTTTTCCAGAGTTGTTCGTTTCTATGGGGGATCCCTCCTGTGACTGCTGATCTGGTTGGCCATGCTGTCAGTGGAAGCCCTGCCACGTGGACTGCTTCTAATACGAGCATCACAAAAACGAGTCTGGGCATTATCATGAGGTGAGAGGAATTCGTTTTCCTGAATTGTTAGGTGTGGATGGCGATGTGCCATCCAGCATTCCTGTGACTGCTGATTTGGGGGCGTTTATGTGGTCATGTGGGCTTTCTTGTGACAGAACCAATGGCATAATGTAGTCTATCCAGTTTTTTTCCATTTCGTTGTGCCCATTTTATTGCTTCTGCTCTGTTGCTTCCATCTCGTCGCTTCCAGTCGTTCCATTTCAGCCACCATTCTCCCTCTGCTGCGTCCCGATTACCATGTGCATTGGCATCTGCAGGTTCAGCCGGGCTAAGGGGGACGCAGGGGTGCCTGTGAAGCTTCAAGGAAGGACCCACATCGTGTGGGCGTTTGGTCTTGGGGCTTGGAGTCCAAGCGGACCGCATGTGACCAGGTGATGGGCAGTCAAGGCTGGTCAATGCAGTTAATACCAAGTCAAGTAGTGGCAATTTTAGTGTCCAGTCAATTGAGGACAATCAACGACCTCAACCCCGTCTTCCGCCGTCCTCCACCCTTCCACCCCCTTCCCCTACTCCCGCTCCCCCCCTTCTCTCCCTCCTCCCCCCTTCGCCCCCTCCCCTCCCCCAACTCCTCTGTCCTTCCCCCTCCCCCCCTCCTCTCCCCTTCCACCCCCCCTTTTTTTCCTTTCAGAGGTGCTACATTGGTGAATTTCTCCTGTGACTGCAGGGGCATGTCAAGGATTTTTTGCTAAGGAACTTTTAAGTACCGTATTGGATTGTAGTAGAGTGCGTGCATCATAGGAGATTTTTTAGCTAATTTAACTGTTATCCCAAACCCCTCGCACATTGTTGTGTGTGTCAAGCAATGACAGCAGTAGCACTATAAATTGATCCTTTTACTTTTCAATTTATGGAATGGTGGGACAGTACGTGTTAGCTGAGTAAAATTAAGGTTATAACATTTTGTTTTGTGTGCTCTCATTTAGATAACGTCTTGCATAGTTATCTACGTTTTTGTGCATTCATTGTTATCTACGTTTGTTACAAGAGCGGGGTTTATCGCCACGCGTATAGTATCTTATCGGGCGCAACAAGAAGTATCTGGATGTATGTAGACACTTCATGTCTTCGCGATGTAGAGAACCCCGTTGAAAATTTGTCTGTTTTGCTTGCGGATCGCGCTAATGGCACCCGCTCAATATAGTAACTCCAGCGAGGCGCGCGTTTCCCGCCAAATGTCTCTCCACGTAAAGTGTACTTCAATGTGTGTGGGGGGAGTGTGCATCTGGTTCAAATCATTGGACTTCTTGCTCAGGCCCCATCGCATCTGGGTTTTTGCTGATGTGTTGTCTTGTAGTGAGCGCTCCGCTCAATTCATACCTTCCGTTGGTCTAAAAGGACGACACATTACAGCGCGCATCTCAGCCCTCCGTAGCGCTGACGCTGATGATCGGGCACCGCGCTTTGGTCTGATTGGTTCGTATTGCAGGATCCAGCGCCATACAGCAGCATTTGATTGGAGGGCACCTGCTTAGCTGCGGTTCACTAGTCTAGTGATCTGCAATGGTGCGATGATGGTGTGAATGAACTCTCTAAGATTAGTGCAGCATCAGCTTTCGCGAGATTTAGAGAATTAGTTCACATTAGTCTCATCCTTCACGCTAATCACAGCCTGTTGACGCGATCACCTGCATCCCTTACGGTTATCGCCTGTTTCGATCAGCAGACGGACAATTGCCACTGAACCACACTCCGCCGCTAATCACAGCCCAGCCCACCCAACCCAGCACAGCACGTACTCCCGTATTTCCGACGCCATGGCCCGATCAGCTCCACGGTTGCTTCCTCTGGGAATCGCGCTCTTCCTTCTCGCAGCGCTCCCGTCACGCACGTGCGCGCGATCCGAAGCGCCTTTCAACCCTAATACAGGAGTAGCATCCAAAGCTGGCATTACTATTCCCAGCTTCAAGTTCAACTTCAAGTTTGATTTCAAGAGGGTGTCGAACCCTCTCGTGTTTTTCGCGAAGTGCGAAAAGTCTTCGCTAGCGGGTTTCTCCTCGTCGAAACAGCTCACTAACGGGTATGACAGGAATACTTGACGAAAATGCCGGCCTTTCCCCCCATCCCCTTTCCGTTCATCCCCTTGCAACTCACCCGCTTCCTGCGTCCCTTCCCTTCTTCCAAGCTGGTTGCGCGCAGCATTGAGCCATTCTGCCTCCTTTCCCGCACACGCCTTCCTCTCTGCAGTCTCACACTTCTCACTTGGCTGGCAGGTATTGACCGCGTCGATTGACCAGCGTCAGTTCGCCGTTGATATTTTCCTCCCCCTCTCCTCTTCCCTTGCGTCTCCTCTCTCCGTTCCCCCATTTTCCTCTTCCCGTGTAACCCGCAGGCTCACTCTGACCGGCAGACAGTCACCCCGTCGAGCGAACGGCTCTTGAAATGCTGTCCTCTAGTCTTTCGTCTCACCTCTCATCCTCTCCCTGTTCTCCCCACCTTACCGTCCTCCCCACGGGCTCATTCTGTACTGGCAGGCAGTCACCCTGTCGAGCGACCAACCTGTGAAATCCCCTCCCCTCTTCTTCCCCGTCTTCCTCTTGTTCTCCCCACAGGCTCACACTGCACTGCCAGGCAGTCTCCCAGTCGAGCGAACAGCTACAGCTCGCCGTCGAGGCGAAAAAAGGCACTCCAGCTGCCGCGAGCTGGTCTCGCATCTCATTCTCTCCCTCATCTTCTCCCTTACCCCACCGCCTTATCCCCAGGCTCACACTGCACTGGCAGCAGTCACCCCGTCGAGCGACCAACCTGTGAAATCCCCTCCCCTCTTCTTCCCCGTCTTCCGTTTGTTCTCCCCACAGGCTCACACTACACTGGCAGGCAGTCACCCCGTCGAGCGATCAGCTTCAACTCGCCGTCGAGGCAAAAAAGGGCACTGCGGCTGCTGCGAGCTGGTTTGCCGTGGGTTGGTCGAAGATCGGCAAGATGGGCGGCAGCAATGTGGTTGTAATGGAGGATGTCGGCTCGGCGCCGGGCGAGTATGATCTCGAGAGTGACCCGCTCTACACTGCGAAAGCCGTGGCTGCTTCGTGGTCGGCGAGCTCGTCGAGTGTTACGGAAGATGACAAAGCTGTTTTATTGCAGTAAGTTTTGTTGGATGTAAAGGTGCTGCCTCGTTTGTAGAGATTCTTGTATCGCGTATAGCGAATATGACCTCGAGAATGACCCCTTGTACACTGCGAAGGCTGTCGCTGCTTCGTGGCCTGCGAGCACGTCCAGCGTTACGGAAGATGACAAAGCTGTTTTACTGCAGTAAGTTTTGTTGGTACAGGTGCTGCGCGTTAATCGTGGTCCTTGTATCGCGTATAGCAACGCGAGAATGGTCTCTCCAGCGACCCTGTACACGGCGAAGGCCGTCGCTGCTTCGTGGTCGGCCAGTTCGTCGAGTGTTGCAAAAGATGACGAATTGTTTTCGCAAACATAGCCAGTTCCTTGTCCAGTTTACCCGCCGTAATTACAGCACCATGCAATAAAGCAGCTCATTTCTTTTCTCAACCCCACCCCCCCTCCCCCCCCCCTCCTCTCCCTTGCCTAATCCGTCCCTGCGCGTATCCTTTGCCTGTCAGATTCTCCCGTGGAATAGGCGAACCGGGCAGTGTCTCAGTGAAGCGATCGGGCTACAGTAACATGATTTGGGCGTACGGCGCGGGGATTTGGGAGGCGGATGGAGGTCACGACGCCAAGTGAGTTTCGGTTGGGGTTGTTTGTTCGCCTGAGGGTGGGATAAGGTTGGTAAAGGCGGGTAATGGTGAGGCCATTGGAGGCTCGCCTTTACTGTCCTCTCCAAGAATTGGTTGGAGTGAAAAGCATGGTAGTGGTCAATGCTTTCCATGTAACTCTCCTTTCCGGTCCTTACCTCCCACACCCCCCTCCCCTCCCCTCCCCTCTCCTTATGACCAGTGCTGTGTGCTTGATTTGTTTCAATCGGAACAGAGATAAATGTTAGAGCATGCTCATCCTCTCTATTAGCTCATCCTTGCTGTCCTCTCTAGCAGGCTCATCCTCTCTAGAATGCAGTGTTTCTCCAGGTGTCTACCCGTGTAATGGCTCCTTTGGGATTAGTTGTGCACCGTGCGCTTCTCATTTATGGTGCTCCTATGCCCAATCTATTTCCCTTCGACACAATTGCAGGGGTGCCACTGTAGTTGACTTCTCATGTAACGGTTGCAAGGGGCTCTTGCGGAGACGATGCTGATGACTCGCTAATGCGCAATTCTTCTAGAGCTTAGCAGCCACTCTTCAATATCTAGAGAATAGAACAATTAGATAGTAGAAGCTGGTGCCATTCTCCAGCCGTCCATCCACTATCAGGCTGATGCAGTCAACAATGCATGTACTTCAATAAAGATAGTGGGATATTTTGATGTATGCAGTGTTTTGGGGGATTATGGTAGTATGGTATGGTATAAGCCCTCATTGCTGTATCTCAATGGTGTAGCTTTTACACGCACCGACTGTCCATGGCAATTGCATCACATTATCGCAAATCACCCACACAAGTAGTCGTGCTGGCATTAGCCATGACGACAGCACCCCACCAAGCTGTTGGATGGAATGAGGACCATGCGTGGCCAAGGTGGGATGGATGGGTGAGGCTAGCAATTCCTGGAGGGGTTTAGGGAGGAATGGGAAGCAGGGGGTGCAGATAGAGGGAGAAATCACATGCAGAGAGATAGTGAAGGCGGGATGCAACAGAGGGATTGGAAGAAATAAGGGTGGGATGAGACTGTTAGGAGAATTGTGCAGGGACGAGGCAGAGAGTGGTGACTGGGATGCGGGCAGGCAGATAAGGCACGGGAGAAGGAGGGCGATAAGTGAAACGAGGAAAGGAGGAGAGGCTGAGAGGGTAGAGGGGAGAGGGGCTGAGAGGAAAAGAAGGGGAAGGGATGAGGGAAAGAAAAAGAGGGTCTTAGAGGGAAAGAAGGTGAGGGGCTGAGAGGGAAAAAGAGGGGAAGGGAAGAGAGGGGCGGTGAGGGAATGGGGGAGGAGAGTAGAGAAAGAAAGGAGGAGACGAGTAGAAAGGAGGAGACGAGTAGAAAGGAGGAGACGAGTAGAAAGAGAAGGGACGGTAGGGGCAGAGGTAGAGAAGGGAAGGTAGGGGCAGAGGTAGAGAAGGGAAGGTAGGGGCAGAGGTAGAGAAGGGAAGGTAGGGGCAGAGGTAGAGAAGGGAAGGTAGGGGCAGAGGTAGAGAAGGGAAGGTAGGGGCAGAGGTAGAGAAGGGAAGGTAGGGGCAGAGGTAGAGAAGGGAAGGTAGGGGCAGAGGTAGAGAAGGGAAGTTAGGGGCAGAGGTAGAGAAGGGAAGGTAGGGGCAGAGGTAGAGAAGGGAAGGTAGGGGCAGAGGTAGAGAAGGGAAGGTAGGGGCAGAGGTAGAGAAGGGAAGGTAGGGGCAGAGGTAGAGAAGGGAAGGTAGGGGCAGAGGTAGAGAAGGGAAGGTAGGGGCAGAGGTAGAGAAGGGAAGGTAGGGGCAGAGGTAGAGAAGGGAAGGTAGGGGCAGAGGTAGAGAAGGGAAGGTAGGGGCAGAGGTAGAGAAGGGAAGGTAGGGGCAGAGGTAGAGGTAGGGGTTGAGGACGGGCGGGCGTGTGTGAAAAGCTGCGTAAGAAAAGAAGCATGACGATGATGGATGGGAATTGGGCCATGGTCTTTCCGCAGCTTCTCCTTTCGAGACGCCTCAAAACATGATGGATGGGAAAATGGGCCATGCTCTTTCCGCAGCTTCTCCTTTTGAGACGCCTCAAAACATGATGGATGGGAAAATGGGCCATGCTTATTTCGCAGCTTCTCCTTTTCTATTGAAATGGGGTGGTGAATGGCTGAGTCGAGCAGTCAATAAAACAGGAGAGAAGGAGACAAGGAGAGAAATGGAGGTGAGTGGGAGAGAAAGCAGATTGAGGAGAGAGGCAGAGTGGGAGACACTGGGAAATGGGTGTCGCGACTGGTGGACAGGAGTTACCGTTGGGTGAAGGGAAGGGACAGGGTGGGATGGGAAGAGAGGAGACGAGAGAGAAAGGGGGAGAGGGGCAGAGAGGGAAGGGAGAAGAGGTGAACGGAGGGAAGAGAGGCGATGAGAGGGGAGGGAGGAGTGGGAAAGAGAGGAGAGGTGAAGGGAGGAAAAGAAGAGATGAAAAGGAAGGGAGGAGTCGGGGTAGGGTGGGAAGGGAGAGGCGGGACGGTGAGGAATGGGAGGAAAGGGGCAGAGAGGGAATGGAGGAGGGGGAAAGAGCTGGTTTTTGAGAATTCTCAAAAACCAGCTCGGAATGGAGGAGGGGGAAAGAGAGGAAATTGAGGAGATAAGAGCATGGGAAGGAAGGTGACGAGCAGGGGAAACGAGGGTGTCGAGAAGGGTAAACGCGGGCGATGGGCAGGGGAAGGAAGGGCGACGGGGGAAGGGAGAATGAGGGCAACGTTACTGGGGACGCAAGGTGACGAGAGGGAGAGACGAGGGCGACGTGCAGGGAAAACGCGGGGCAAAATTCTGAGGATGCGAGGGCGACGGGCACGTGAAGGGAGTGCGAAGGGGCAGGGGAAGGGAGCGCGACGGGGCAGGGGAAGGGAGCGCGACGGGCAGGGGAAGGGAGCGTGTCGCGCGAAGCGAGCGCATCGGGGCAGGGAAAGGGAGGGCGACGAAAAGGCGATGGGTGGGGAGGCGAGGGTAACGTTACCATCGGGACAATGGAAACGGGATTTGACGTTGCGACGGGCGTGACCGTCAAGACATTGCGAGTGATCGTGGCCGAGAAAGTTAGAACGGGAGTGTCCCTTTTGCTTAAGATCGGAATGGTAATTGAGGATGCTCACAACAGCTCGTAGTCAAGGCCGACCGTGTGTTACGGGAGTCGTGAGTAGGAGCGAGTGACGCAATTGTGTGAATTTCCAAAGGGATGGGAGTGGCGGGTGTGACGGGAGGGAACGGAAGGACAAGACGAACGTGAGAGACGGGAAGGACGGGCAGTAGTGAGTGCGCTGGTAATAAACTAGAAGCTGTTTCCTAAGCTATGGAGCCTCCTTCGAGTCTAGAATGGTCAGCTCTAATTTCAAGTTTGCCTTAGTATGAGCAGTAGCCTACATATTCGCGTCTGATGATTTCCGCCAATCAGAATCTTTCGCCCCAAAACCATTTCCGTGGGTCGCGATGGTGTGCAAGACCCAAACCGGGTTACCCGTTTTTGGCGAATTCAAGTCCAAGAAACTTGAACTTGAATCATTCTACACTCGGGCTTGGGTGTGCTGCCTGTCCAGCATCATGCTGCTCAAGGTCGGTCTTCCATTCCGCACGGTATTCGAACCGAACTCAATGCCCGAACAAGGTGGTACCACCATACCCGAATGTTCCTCACCGTTCTTCAGTACAGTTGAAACACCTCGTCGGAACGCATAGAGTAACGACACAGCTCAGCTGTATCGAGCCATTCTCAGGCCGTTTGACCTAATCTTCGCAGAAGCACGCTTTTTCCGTCTCTTGACCTAACGACAGACAGTTGGGATATCATGCCTCCCTCGTACAACAGCCTGCCAAACGACCTCCTCGTTTACATCTTCCGGCACTCCAAAAAAGATGTCCCAATTCGTCGCCAACCCCACCACCATAGACTTCATCCATCGGTTTCAATCTTGACTCAACCCAGGTACACCCTATTCGCGATAATTGCACACCCCCTACCTTCTTTTTTGAAGGTGCCCTATACCGATTCAGGCTCGATATGACGGACACCCTGAAACTCAAGGACTATCAGTCGACAGCGAGATGCAGTTTCCCTTGAAATTACACCATGTGTTCCGAGTGAGGACGGGGTTGGGTAGGCACGGCTGAAGTTTTTAATGCTTACGACTATTCGCGACTGGGTTTCGGAACACCCACCAGCTGTTCAATATTCGCAGCGAACTACCCTGCAATAATGTTTGTATCCCGGGTATGTACACCCAAGGTGTGCGTTTAAGGGGTGTGAAATTATCGCGAATAGGGTGTACTCCTCCGAAAGCCCGTACGGCGACGACCTCAGCACCTTTGAAGCATCTTCGTCCCCTGTCATCCCTGCAGCAAGACGAAAACGGTACTACAGGTATTGCTACTACGATCCCTAATAGTACGACACCGTTGTCAGCTCCTACCGTTTTGCCAAACCTGGCCTACCGTCTTCTCATTGCGTCCGTTTGCAAGCGCTGGCGTCGCATAGCCCACCGTCAGGTCTCAATGCTCCTCGTGAAAGGAAACATTGTCGTTTCACTCCAAGATCTCACAACGGCCATCAAATGCTTCCCAAACATCTCTCATCTGCATCTCAGCGACAACAGCGTGGAGACAATCAGCGACGCGTTCGTCGATTTCCTCGCTTGCTCGTGCCCTAAACTACCGTATTCTCCCGGATATAAGACCCGGGGGACTTTCCTAAAATAGAGGCAAAATGACTAGGGTGAACATTTAATCGGCACGAGTTGTAAGAGTCCCGGGTACACTTATTAATCAAGTACACTTCTGCGATTTAAGGGTGTACACTTGAATTTGAAGGGGGGGGGGTCTTATGTTCGAACCGAAAAAATCTCGCGTGCGCGAAATTCGCGCGAGCGGCGCGTCAGAAACGTCAGATCTCGTGTCCGACACGATTGGTGTGTCAGAACCCGATTCTGACACAAATGACGCGTCAAATTTCGGTTTCTGTGCCTCTAAAAGCTGACGCGCATATTTTTTTTGAAGTACTGTACGCAGAAAAGGGGGGTCTTAAAATGTTTTGTAGCAAAAGGGGGGTCCTCTCACATGCATCGCAAAAATCATATGATTAGAAACCTATTGTAAAGAGTTGTTGCGAAGTATTTTCAAATGCTTTTAAAACGTAGGGTCCAAGACTCTTTTCGGTGAAAGTATAAACATTTTTTCGAATGCTTTGTCGAATGCTTTGCAGGTCATGACACGTTTGAATTACCTTCGGATTAAGGCTGGTCCGAGTTTCGACAAAGATGTATAAGACTTACTTATGAGTGTTTTGGGAGATTAAATTCCACCCAATATACTCTTTAGCAGAGCTTAGGACCAACGTTAAATAAGATTGTGTAGGAACCTTTATCATGCGTTTCTCGTTGTTTCATGGAAGATCTAGGAGCCATTGGTAGGTGTATACGCACATCATGAATGCATTACTAAATGATCATTAATCTCGTTACAGAGTTGGCTTGGCACACAAAACAACTTCCTAAACACGCTTTGCGTAGCCGCGCTAGGATGGATTAATCTGCACCATCCTCGTACCTACTTCGCAAGCCACCATCGGATGTGTCCCCGCCCCATCTCTTGGGCTCTTGGCCTATAGATTTCTTGACTACAGACACTGCTCCACCTAATGCTAACCTGCACGGCTACACACTTCCTGTCTCCTCCCTTGCATATACTCCGGCCTCCTTGCTGTCTCCACGCATTGCCTCTACTGCTTCCCCCCTTGCGGTCTCCTCTCATGCCTGCTCCTGCTGCTCCATATTGGGCCTCTCCTGGAACTTCCCTGTTACCTCCCCTGCTACCCCCCCTGCTGCTACTCATATTGGCGCCTCCACTGCTCCTCCACTACCGACACCCAGGGAACCTCCAAATATACACTCCCTCCCCTGCTGCCATTCTATGTTGCCTCCCCTGCTGCCTCTCTCTGTTACCTCCCCTGCTGCCATTCTATGTTGCCTCCCCTGCTGCCTCTCTCTGTTACCTCCCCTGCTGCCATTTGATGCTGCCTCCCCTGCTCCTTCCCTTTGTTGCCTCCCCTGCTCCCTCCCTTTGTTTCCTCCCCTGCTCCCTCCCTTTGTTGCCTCCCCTGCTCCCTCGCTTTGTTGCCTCCTCTGCTCCCTCGCTTTGTTGCCTCCCCTGCTCTCTCGCTTTGTTGCCTCCCCTGCTCCCTCGCTTTGTTGCCTCCCCTGCTCCCTCCCTTTGTTGCCTCCCCTGCTCCCTCGCTTTGTTGCCTCCCCTGCTCCCTCCCTTTGTTGCCTCCCCTGCTCCCTCCCTTTGTTGCCTCCCCTGCTCCCTCCCTTTGTTGCCTCCCCTGCTCCCTCGCTTTGTTGCCTCCCCTGCTCCCTCCCTTTGTTGCCTCCCCCGCTCCCTCCCTTTGTTGCCTCCCCCGCTCCCTCCCTTTTGTTGCCTCCCCCGCTCCCTCCCTTGTTGCCTCCCCCGCTCCCTCCCTTTGTTGCCTCCCCTGCTCCCTCGCTTTGTTGCCTCCCCTGCTCCCTCGCTTTGTTGCCTCCCCTGCTCCCTCCCTTTGTTGCCTCCACTGGTGCCTTTCTATGTTGCCTCCACCGCTGCCTTTCCTTGTTGACTCCCTGCTGTCTTTCCTTGATACCTGCCCTGCTGCAAACCCCAACTGTTTATACGCCCCTGCTCTCCCCATTAACCGATACCCTCCTGCCTCACCCGAGGCCTCTCCAACTGCCTCCACCACACGCCCTGCTTGCCCCCTTGTCTTGCCGGCCCATCACTTTCCCCCCCTGCCTCCCATCCTTTTGCCTCTCTTGTGCATTCTGCTCTCTCTCCACCCCTTCCCCCCTGCTCATCATCCTCCTCTTCCTCTTCCTCCTCCTCCTCCTCCTCCTCTTCCTCTTCCTCTTCCTCCTCTTCCTCCTCTTCCTCCTCTTCCTCCTCTTCCTCCTCATTATCAGCCTGAGCCGTCCTTCGAAACGCCTCAAACCCGGACTCATGTACATATAGCCCACGCGTGCCCCACTTGAAGCCCTGCAACTCTGCGTTGTACACGGGGTGTGACGTGTAAAGTGATTCCTAACAATCCCCCGCACCCCCCGACTCAAACTCGTCATCCATCTAGTGTTTTTTCGGTGGGAATTCGCCAGGTTCATGTCAGTCTTCTTGACGCGCGCCAAGCCTTGATCAATCTGAAATGGGTTTGAATTATAGGGATCAGCAACAAGGCAGAGTTGGGGGTTTACATTGCAAGCCCCCGAGGGTCCCAAGTCGTGGAAAATGCAATAGAAAGGATCGAGCATTAGGACAAGCAAATGTGATTTACAGAAACAGTCTCACCACCATGAGTGACCAGGCTATGTGGTACGTTTTTAGGGCCAGCCTGCGCCCAACAGCGTAATCCCGAAATGATGCCTTCACCGCATTCACAAACCGGGCGTTGGCAAAAGGGAGCCCGGATCTGTCGTTGCCCCACGAGCTGACCCGCTCATTCCATCCTACACGCATGCACAACCAGGTGTGGAAGCACAGTGCATGTTTGATCATCAAGTGGGGCAGGCAAGGTTTGGAGGTAAGTTTCGGCATCCTAAGTAGGGGCAAGCAGGGCAGACAGGGTTTGTGTGAGGATCCTGAGGTGGGGCAGGCACGGCACACGGGTTTGTGTGAGGATCCTGAGGTGGGGCAGGCACGGCACACGGGTTTGTGTGAGGATCCTGAGGTGGGGCAGGCAGGGCAGACGGGTTTGTGACCATGACAGGATGGGGCCGGGTTAAGGTTATGGAAGTACGATCAGAAAAGACAAAGGGAATGAGCAACGGGACGAACATATCGTATTTGCAGCGGGATAGCTGGCCATCATGACTCACTCGGTTTGTATTTCCGCCACAGCCTCTTCTTCCTCTTTGTGCTCAGCGTGATCTCGGCTGCACGCAGCCCATCAACCCTCACTCCGAACTTCTCGAGCACACTGCGCTTGACTTGGAAGCCCCGTTCATTCTTCCATGCTGTCCACACGCGCTTAAAGACGGCAACGACGTTCTGGTCTTTCATTGTCTCTTTCAGCTGCATGGGGGAAATGATGTGGGTCTCACTGATGACGCCATATAGAACCTGTAGTCGCTGATCAAATGATGGGTACCAGTCAATCGCATGATCCGGCGCATCCATGCACATCCGGTCCCGCGCCTCGACGAAATGAAGCTACAATGGACGGGAGGATAGGGGAAGATGAAATCAGTGGCAAGGGGCAAGCACGTCAAACGTGGGGCGGGCAGAGGGGGTTATAATTAACATCCATTACATGTGGGTCAGAAGTAGGGCAGGCAGAGGGGGTTAGAAACGTTATGCTTGACCATGTGGGGCTAGCAGGGGGGTATAAAAATGACCATGAGTAACAAGATGCTTGCAGGGGGGTTTAACATGAGCATGAATAACAAGATGCTGGCAGGGGGGTTTAACATGAGCAGGAATAACACGGTTCTAGCAGGGGGGTTTAACATGAGCATGAATAACCAAGGTGGGGCAGTCAAAGGGGGGTTAATATGCGCACTCATATGACAGTTGGTACACATGCCTTTGTCTTTGAAAGCAACGCAGAGTGCCACTCACACTCACCCTCAATTTCTCGAGGCTGGGCATTTCATGCCTGCGCCGAATGGGCTGGCCCTCTGTCGGTGTGCTCTCCTCAGCTACCCCGGGACTGAGGCCCCCAGATGATGGGTCGCTCCACATAGATGCCCCCGGAGGAACCCGGGAGGGAGGACCGTGGTTTTTGAGGCCATGGCAAACTGGTTTTGCCTTGAGGGCTGCTAGTTCGCTGTTTGCTAGCTCTAGCTCTCGCGTGAGCTCTTCCACCGTCTTGGGGCGAGCCGGATTGAGACGACCTGATGCACCGGGCGTGCACATGTTCTCACCCCTCCCCTCGTTCGTGTGTGCATCCCTTTTCAAGATGTAGTCATCGCCCCTTGCGTCACGTTCATCATACGGAGACCCAGCCATAACTCCGCCACACTCACCCAATGCATTTGCCCACATCCCACATGCCAAACCGTCGTTTGCTGCTGCGGCCGTTGCGTCATCGTATCGTTTGGGCTTGAAGTCACCTTTGTCAGGATCCGGTGAACCCCGAGGCTCAACAGGCTTCGCAGGCGGGTCTTTTCCCTCCTTGTTATGACGCCAGGACCCTGTGGGCAACGGGTCTGCTCCTTTCCCAGCAGTTAGTGATGGCCCTCTGAGAGCAGCGTAAGGGTCCGCGCGATCGTCACGCGAGCTTCGGGGCATATCCTTACGATCAAGAGATCTAGTAGTAGCAGCAGTTGCTTTCACTCCCATCTCCGCATAGAATTCAGGCTCGGGCTTCACTTTGGGGTGCACACGGACAACATGGGCAGCGCCACGGCATCGACCGTTGTTGCCATGCGATTTCCCACGACTGTCGCGCCCCTTACGGCCCTTGTCACGACCCTTGCCACGGTTCCTCTTATCCTTGCCCTTCTTGGGCCGCCGATCACGCCCCTTTCTCTTCGGACGCACCTCATCCGCCTCCTCGCTTTTGGGCTCCAGATCCTGATCCTCACTCTCCTCCTCTTCCTCGTCTCCATAAACCTCCTCGCTGCCGGATGAACTACCAGATTCCTCGTCGCTGGATCCCTCCTCGGAACCGGACGAGGAGCTGGAAGCGTAGCGTTTCCGTCCCTGGCGAGCCTGCCTCATTTTTTTGTCGAGACCGCCCGTGTCAACCGCCTTGCGCCGCTTGTACGTGACTTCGGTCCCTCGTCCCTTACCCTCCCCATCACTGTCACCCTTAGCAACTTCTGTCCCTCGTCCGTTACCCACCCCATTCCTGTCGCCCTTGGCAACTTCAGTGCCTCGTCCCTTACGCTCCCCATCACTATCGCCCTTAGCGATTTCTGTCCCTCGTCCCTTACCCCCCCCATTCCTGTCGCCCTTAGCAACTTCGGTCCTTCGTCCCTTACGCTCCCCATCACTGTCTCCCTTAGCGACTTCCGTCCCTCGTCCCTTATCCACCCCATTCCTGTCGCCCTTAGCAACTTCAACCCCTCGCCCCTTACGCTCACCATTACTATCGCCCTTAGCGACATCAGCCCCTCGTCCCTTATCCTTCCCATCTTTGGCAGGCCCACCCTGAAGCACGTCGTCGCCACCGGCCGCTACCGCCTTCTCCTGCCGATGAAAAGAACTGCCCTTCTCCACCACACCCCTCCCCTTCTTGCGCTTTGCTCTCGCTTGCGGGTGACCCTTCTCTTCTGACTCGCCGGTCAAAAGCACCAATAGAGCAAAATGAGTTTCACACGTGCCGTTAGCGGGATTGGCAGTAACAACATATAGGCATCCCAGAAATTACAAAACGAGCCAGAGAATTACTGGTGGGATATAGTGAACACGTACCTTTCTGGCCTTTTTTGGGGTTGCATTCTTCTAACTTCTTCATACGCTTTTCCCTCCGTTTCGAGGGCGAGGAAATAGCCTTGTTTGCGTATGGCTCCTCAACGCCGTCACGGCTGGAGTCGTTTTCAGATGAAGAATCGCCCCCTGACTCGCTGTCATTGCAAGCTTTGGACGGATGTCTCCTACGATACTCCTTGACGACTTGGGCAGTTTTCTCTGCTGTTACTATCTCCATATATCTCTTCTCATCTAGAGATTTGGTAGAACTAGGCAAGTCCACAGCCCCTACCTGCGCGTTAAGGGTTTGAGCTTGAACTGTTGGATCTAGGTTCTCACCCATGAGTGGCGACTTAGTGAACATAGGACTAAGAACATGACTTGACTCACCGGCTGATACTAGCATTAAGTATCAGTTGGTTGGTGAGGTCTGAGTACCATAAAGGGTGGTGGAGCAGGTGTACGTGATCCAACCAACACGGTTGAGCAACACTAGGCTGATGAGGGTTTGAACATGGGATTGCAAGAAGCACGATGGTCCTTCCAGATCCACCGCCTCTCCAGAGCACAGATCCATGGTTTGCTACTGTAGATGGGAGAAAGTAAGACGGACATGGTCAGAGCTGATGATGCAGTGGCCAATCTGAGTGCTTAAACTGCACTCGTGTTCGCGCCACTGAATGTTCAATACGTTGGATTTCTTGCGCGCGCTACTAACTGTTTTGCAGCTAAGTGCGAAAAGAACGGTCTACAAGAAGTTTACTTGCGGCAGCGAGGTGAGAGTTTGCTCTGCCCGACTGCCTCGTATTGCTGATTTGCATGCGACTCGACAGGTGCTGCACGTATATTATCACAATCGTCACGAACAACGCCCGATCAGCAGCTGCGACTACTCAGCGAACTACGTGAGGGAGGGAGGGAATAGAACCTGAGGTCGCGCAAAGCCGTGCAGCCAAGGACGACAGGCCGACACTGCGTATTGTGCAAGGGAACGCCTGGAATCGCGGAGTCGAGAGTCGCTTGACAGCGATTGCGACTCGTTCGCTCGGCTTCTTGGTGTGATGATGAATGCAGGAGGATTATGCGTGATGTGTGTGGCCCATCCGAATTCGTGCACGTATAAACGCCTAGTCCCGTTATGCAGTTGTATATGTATGTACTACCTTGTTGGATTTTACAAGTATAATCAGTTAGAATCTCCTCTCCTATCATTAAGTTCAAACATTCCAGTCTCGTCTTTATATCACCTGGGACATACAGGATAGTAACAAATAACCCTCCAAGACACATCAACATGATGCACACAGAGACAATCTGGTTGTTGGTTTAAAATCGCTACTCGAGGTAATGTAACTTACATGTCGAACAGCCTTACAATCGGGACAAAAGTACCATGTAATGTACCTATGGGTTGTGATTATCTTCATGTTCAGACGTGTGACTTTCATACTAGAATAATATCATTAAGAATCCTGTTTACATGCAAACGAGACACTTGTTGTATCAACGCACCTCTCAGCACTCCCTGAGAACCGTAACACCAGCCTTCTGTTGTTGTGCTGCGTTCTATGCTTGCCTACTCGCAGGTGCACACAGCCATGGCAATCCCACCGCACGACAGGATGGAGTGGACCGAGAAGGGGCAGTTTGTCAAAGCAAGCCCTGCTGAGAGGCACTTTTCTGATGTAGCCATAAATCCAGCTGGCAAAGGGGCCAACTGGTACGGCCGCTGCTTGATGCTGTTCCATTACGAGAAAAATGGGGTGGCAAAAAAAGCCGCCTACATCGAGTACTACACGGAGGATAGGCGTGTCTGCCGCGACGAAGGGCACCTACAACTATGCAATTGTAGATGCAGATTGCATTTTTAGCATCGTGCATGTTGTCCCGTGCTGCAAAGACCCTGATGTGAAGCTGCTCAATAGGTTCATCTGGTAATGCCTACTAGGTTGCAACTATGTGTCTAAACCATAACATCATTTGATTATGAGAAACATATTTATGCCGCCTATGTATTGTTTCAACAAACAACATTTGACAAACCAACCATGGAAACATTGGTAAACCATTCCCAAATCATCAGCACAACATTTCATTCGATAAAAGTGCTTTACAAATGATATGTAAAGGATTCCAAAGTGATTGTCAAGGGTTTCTAAACGCTGGATAAAAAATCAAATGGTCGAATGATTTACACACACATTTTTGTGATGTGTGCTACATATTATGAGTCCCAGCACCGTTCAAAAGTCCCGGGGGTCTTTTTTTTCGGGAGGGTCCTATATCCGGGAGAATACAGCAGTGTCGCTGCACGTGGGGAAGGAGATCTCGCCGAAGGCGGAATATGAGTGTGAGGACAAGCACCCGGTGACAGAGGCTGGTTTGGTCCGCTTCCTCCATCGCTGCACTCAGCTGTAGCACCTCTCGCTGCTACCGAATTCTCTCTCGCTGCTCACCAACCTACGCACTCTCGCTCTCACCGAAGCCTCACCTCTCAAGGCTCAAGGCTCAAGTATTCACGAAATTGACTTCTCTCACCGCCCTCTCAATCGACGTTCCAATGTACGCAGATCTGAATCTTGCGAGCCTCGCGCATCTCCTAGCGTTCACCACCCTCGCATTGTTCGAAGAGACATGGCTGCAGCTAAATGGCAGCGATGGCTCTCACCCCTTCTCATTCGCCCAGCTGCCTTTTCTGAAGGCGGTGGAGTTCCACGCGAACAGTCTGCGATTCGAGCTGATGTTTCCACCGGGAGTCTCGTTCAGCCGACTTGAGCGGCTGCTCCTTAAAGGTTGCGACGAGATGGGGCGTCTTCCTGATGACATTGGAGAGCGGTTACCATGCCTTCGACATCTAAGCATATGGGGATGCAAGAATCTTTCCGAGCTGCCCGAGCAGTTCGCTTCCCTAAGCTGCCTGCGTGAGCTGACAATTTACTGGTGCGACATGGTCAAACTCCCAGAGAATTTTGGAGAGTTGCCCGCTCTGAAAGTGCTAACACTGAACAGTCTTCCAATCTCGAGTCTCCCAGATTCATTCTACCTGGTGACGTCACTGGAAACCCTCAACCTGTCTTACTACAACTCGATTTTCTAGCTTCCTGCAAGGTTCGATTTTCTCACCGAACTCAACTCCCTCTGCATTCTCAACTCTCAGTTCCTGAAGCTATTAGACAACATTGGCGCACTCACCAATCTCCACACCTTCCGTCTGACAGAGAATGTCCACCTCCAGCTGTTTCCATCGTCGTTCACGCAGCTGTCCTCCCTCACAAGGCTAGATCTCAGAGAGTGTACGGTGGCTGAACTTCCAGAAGACTTGGGCAGGTTGAGGAACAAGCCCTACGATATCATGATTTTTTCCCTGAAATTCCTGATTTTCAGCCTAGTTTTGTGTACCTACACTGATTTTTCAGTGTTGAGATTTTTGCAACACTGATTTTTTCAGCCTTTATTTCATAGCTAACATTGATTTTCCAGACTTTTGTCGAAGTGTACATTGAATGCACATTCCGAATCCTTCCCGTAAAACACCTAAGAGATTCAGTCAACCAACTTTTCCACAGTATAATTACTGTTAAGTTTAGATCCTGACTAACGTTGGGATGTACTGTCTCGGTGGTTAGCGAAATTGATTCTGAATAATAAGGATTTTGGTTCGAATACCTTGGGTGTCATATGTAGTTACTGACAAATGTGTAGCCTGTAGTGAGGCTTGTCTTAGGGGGTACATCTGTTAGGGTTTCTATATGTACCCCAACCACATCAATGAAACATCACATTCTCTCATTCTAACATGGTATCAGCTAGTTGGATCCTATTGGATCCCCATCCTCCCGTTCCCGTTCGTTACGCCTGAGCCTCTCGTTACTGTTACGCCCGAGCCTTCCGTTAGCGGTAGATCGCATGGTCGGGCCTTCCCCCCCCCCCCGCTTCTCGTCGCGTCGCGCCGCCCTTTCCCCCCTCCCCCCCCCCCCCCCCCCCCCCCCCTGGCCCGTCGCCCGGGCCCATCGCCCTGGCCGCGCCCTAGCCCGTCGCCCTGGCATGTCGCCCTGGCCCGTCGCCCTAGCCGCGCCCTAGCCCGTCGCCTAGCACGTTGCCCTAGCCCGTCGCCCTGCCCGCGCCCTAGCCCGTCGCCCTAGCTCGTCGCCCTGGCCCGTCGCCCTGGCTGCACCCTAGCCCGTCGCCCTGGCCCGCGCCTTAGCCCATCGCCCTAGCCCGTCGCCCTCCCCGCGCCCTAGCCCGTCGCCCTAGCTCGTCGCCCTGGCCCGTCGCCCTGGCTGCGCCCTAGCCCGTCGCCCTAGCCTCTCGCCCTGGCCCTGAGCGTGAGCGTTTCTTTTTGGTGGTCGTTGACGACTACTCCCGCTACACCACGGTGTTCCCCCTGGCGAAGAAGTCTGAGGTGACTTCTACGCTGATCAGGTGGTTGCTTTCCACTGCGGACACTCGTGGTCGTCGTGTCAGCTGTCTGCACTCTGACCGTGGGGGTGAGTTTCGCTCAGGCATTCTCGCTGGATTCTGTCGCGAACAGGGCATTCGTCAGTCCTGGACGCTTCCGGAGTCCCCACAGCAGAATGGGGTTGCTGAGCACCGCATAGGCTTGGTCATGGAGATTGCGCGCACCTCCTTGACTCACGCCCGTGCCCCCCATTTTCTGTGGCCCTACGCGGTTCGGTACGCCGCACACCAGCTGAACCTCTGGCCTCGTGTCTCTCGGCCAGAGGTTTCACCGACCAGTCTTTGGACCGGGTCCCCTGGTGTTGCGTCGAGGTTTCGTGTCTGGGGTTGCTTGGCTCTTGTTCGCGACACCTCCGCGGACAAGCTCTCGCCTCGCGCCGTTCCCTGTGTCTTCCTTGGTTTCCCTGAGGACTCCTCTGACTACACCTTTTACCACCCTCCTTCTCACAGGTTCTTTGACTCCCGTGACGTTCGTTTTGAGGAGTCCGTCCCCTTCTACGTCAGGTACCCCTCTAGTGGTCCTCCCCCTCCTCTCTTCCTGGCTCCCGCCCCACCTCCTGCTCCCCCGGTACACCCTCCCCCCCCTGGTCCAGCCCCATCAGGTGTGTCCCACGCTACCCCTCCCCCCTCGGTAGCCCCTCAGGTACTGTCTCCTTCCCCGCAGTCCTCCTCGCAGCCTGCTGCAGTCCCGGCCGCGAGTTGGAGTTGAGAGCGTACCTGTGCTGGGCCCTGGTTCTGGGGGTGCTGGAGTTGCGGGTGAGCTTGAGACTGCGGAGAGTCTCCGCTTCCGGGAGCAGGTGCTGGTGACACGTCTGGGGGTGACACATCTGGGGGTGCAGTTTCTGGTGAGCCTGGCTGGGTTGCGGTTCCTGGTGACACGTCTGGGGGTGGGCGGTCCTGCGTTTGCTGCCGCCCAGGACGCTACACCTCCTCCCCACCCCTACCCGACCCGCCACCAGGCTCGTGTTCGTCGTGCGCGTGAGGAGCAGTTGGAGTTGGAGAGAGAGGAGAGAGAGTTGCAGCAGCTGGTGGAGCAGCAGCAGCAGCAGCAGCCGCAGCAGCCGCAGCAGCAGCAGCCGCAGCAGCCGCCGTCGCAGGAGCAGCGGCTGCCACCTCCTCCTCCTGTCTCTGGTCTTCGGGCCCTCGGTCTCCCCTCTCGCTCTCCTTCCTCCTCCCCCTCTCCTCCCGTGTCTGCTCCTCCCCTTCCTCCTCCTACGCCTCCTGTTTGCGGCCCCACGTTTCCTCCTCCTGACTCCTCCCCTGCTGTCTTCCCTCGTTCTCCCCCTCAGTTGTCTGCGACTCCTCCTCACACTTGGACCTCCCGTCGCTCTCCTCGTGCTCGTCCTTCGTCCCCTGTTGCTCTCACTGACCTCCGTACTGCCCTGTTCCGTTCTCGTCCGCCCAGTTCTCCTCCTTCTGTACTTCCTTCTCCTCCTGAGTCTGCCCTCACTGCTTCTCTCTCTACTCCCGTCACTGACTACTACCGTACCTACCGTCCTGTCCTCTCTCGAGTTCTCGCCTCTCTTGTTACCCACCCACGTGCCTCTCTGTCCTCTGTCTCCGCTCTTACTGCCGCAGTCACTGAGTTTGCCTCTACTCGCCGCCTTGACTACGCCACCGCTCTTGTGGCTGCTCCTCCTACCAGTCCTCTGGCCGTCGGGGGTGAGTTTGCCCTTGGCTGTGACGCCCTAGAGGACAGGCAGTTTGAGCTAGAGTTCCTGGCCGCCGCTTCCCCTCATCTCTGTGCCATGCTCCTCTCCCCTGAGGGAGACCCCGACGCCCTTGACATACCGACTCCTCGCACTTACGCTGAGGCAGTGTCAGGGCCTTGGGCCTCTCAGTGGAGAGCTGCCATGGACGCAGAGATGGCTTCCTACAGATCCACAGGCACCTACGTCGACGAGGTTCCCCCCCCTGGGGCGAACGTAGTCGATGGCATGTGGATCTACAGGGTGAAGCGGCCACCAGGATCTCCTCCCGTCTTCAAGGCGCGCTACGTGGCTAGAGGTTTCAGTCAGCGCGAGGGAGTTGACTTCTTTCAGACCTTCGCGCCTACCCCGAAGATGACCACTCTTCGGGTGTTACTGCACGTAGCAGCACAGAGAGACTACGAGTTACACTCTCTAGACTTCTCCACTGCTTTCCTTCAGGGTAGCCTTCACGAGGAGGTCTGGCTTCGTCGTCCCTCTGCCTTCACTGGCTCTTTCCCTCCTGGGACCCAGTGGAGGCTGAGGCGACCGGTTTACGGTCTTCGTCAGGCTCCTCGTGAGTGGCACGACACCCTTCGTTCTACCCAATCTGACCTTGGTTTCCAGCCGTATTCTGCTGACCCTTCACTGTTCGTTCGTCGAGGTACCACACCGTTCTTTGTTCTTGTCTACGTCGACGACCTAGTGTTCGCTACTGCTGACAGGGTTGCCTTGGCAGACGTGAAGTCCAAACTGCAGAAGAGACACACTTGCACTGACCTTGGTGAGCTGCGCCACTACCTTGGCTTGCAGATCACCAGGGACAGAGCTGCTCGCACCATCACACTCTCTCAGTCACACGTGGTGCAGCAGGTCCTTCAGCGGTTCGGGCTTCAGCACTCCACAGTACAGCGCACACCTCTTGCTATTGACCACAGACTCACTGGTCCTTTTCCTGACGAGCCGTTCGAGCCTAGTGGTCCCTACGCAGAGCTGGTGGGTTGCCTCATGTACCTGATGACTTGTACTCGCCCGGACCTCGCCTTCCCTCTCAGCATCCTTGCACGCTTTGTTGCGCCAGGGAGACACCGTCCTGTTCACTGGACGGCAGCTGTGAGGGTGGCGAAGTACCTAGCGACGACATCAGGCGTGGGGCTAGTTCTTGGAGGGCAGCAGTCTGTCGCACTTACTGGTCACTGTGACTCTTCTTACGCTGACGACGCTGAGACTCACAGGTCTACTCAGGGTTACTGTTTCAGTCTGGGTTCTGGAGCTGTTTCTTGGAGGTCCACGCGCTCCTCCTCGGTCTCGACCTCCACCGCTGAGGCTGAGATCTACGCTGGTGCCATGGCTACGCAGGAGCTGCGTTGGTTGACCTTCTTGCTCACTGACCTTGGTGAGAGGCCGAGCTCTGCACCGACCTTGTTCTCTGACAACAAGGCATCGATTCTCCTTTGTCGTGAGCCACGACTGGAGAGCAGAGTGAAGCACATCAATGTCAGGTACTTTCTTCTGCGAGAGTTACAGAGGCGTGGACAACCTCGTTTCGAGTTGGTGGAGTCCGAGGCCAACACTGCAGACATCTTCACCAAGGCACTTCCGCCTTGTGATCATCAGCCAGAGGTGTTGTGTGTAGTTAGGCCTTGTTGACACTAGTTCTCGTCTTGTGTAGACTTGAGTTGACTGTTTGTTTTGCTTGTACACTTGCTGTATATCTTTGTGAGTTGTTGGACTGGCCTTGTGGCCCCTGGTGTTTGTGCTCAGAGTGTGTGGTGACGTTGTGATCCACCCTGAGCTTTGTTTCTTTTGGCTTTGGTACTCTGTAGGTCTTTGTTCGACACCCCTCACTTAGGCTATGGGGGTGTGTCAAATGTGTAGCCTGTAGTGAGGCTTGTCTTAGGGGGTACATCTGTTAGGGTTTCTATATGTACCCCAACTTTTCCACAGTATA